GGGTGGGTACTTTGATTAATCTGGGATTTTGAGTTTTAGAGAAGATTGAACAGAAAGACCACGGATGGGGTGTTTGAGAGTGCAGTTGATCTACTCTACCATGGGGTGTCTGTCAACTTTGTAGGGAAATATCTAAAATCACGAAGTGGCTGATGGATCCAGGGGAAAAAAAGGGAAGAAAAAAGGGATCCCAGTGGAGTAGAAAAACGTGTGCAGTTCATGAACAGAGTGAGACAGCTCAAAGGATAGAATGTTGTGATCAGATAATGGGAATGTTAAAACTGAAGATGTTAGCGGTACAGGGGGCTTAGGAGCTGAGGTGTGGCCATGGGAGTCAGTTGCTGGGGTGGCAGTGGGGGATTTTAGAGTTGAGGACATCAAGGTGATATAAAATTAGGGCATTGGATGCGTCATCTTCAAGAACAGTGCCGCAGTGATGGCAAGACTTAGAATGAAGAAGATGACTGACTGACAGAATCATCTAGAAGCTGATAGTGATGAAAAGGGCTAAATGGTGGAAGATGAGTGGTGCTGCAGGAAAGAGAGATTGTTGCCAGAATGTGCAAGAATGACAGTGTCCACATGGCAGTAAGGAGCTAGGAGAACACTTGTGTAGATGTTCCCAGCTCTGTGGTGTGTTGGACATTTGAGAATGAACAGGACGCTGAGAGGATGGTGATTTACTTGCAGTTGAAAGGGTTCTCGTAAGCGTTATGAAAGAGGTAGGGAGGAAGGACAGTGGAGGAAGGGCGAGCCAGGAGTGAAATGAAAAATCTTAGTTTCTCCTCAAGAAAACCCCAAAAAACCCCGCCACATCAGACAGGCAGGACTAATTATTTTGAGCCCTATTTTAGAAATAAGAAAAAGAGCCAATGACTTGAAAGGTTGTGCCCTTGAGTGAGTAACAGATCCAAGATTCACACGTGGGCCTTTCAGCGTGAGGGCACCTGGGGGTAGCCCTGGAGAGACATAGCTGCTCCCCTGGCCCGTGGAACTAGAGGAAAGAAGTCAGGCCTGCTCCTCTCTGTGCCTCCCTAGGCCACCCGGACCTCCCGCAAGGCCATCGCCTTTGGCAAACGCTCACACTCCATGAAGCGGAACCCCAATGCACCTGTCACCAAGGCAGGCTGGCTCTTCAAACAGGTGAGGCCTCCTCTGCCATTCTGGCCACCATGCCCAGTGCTTTCTCCTCATAGCACTGTATCCTCTGTGGTTATCATAGTCCATGTCTATTTTGTGATGTCCTCCCATGTCCTAATTTGATATATCTCTGTGAATGAGTCTCCTAATTATATGAAGGCCTAGAGAAGTCAGTTATCTTCCCCAAATGTCCCAGAACAATTCGTGTCATACTTGGGAATCCATCTAGATCTCCTGATGGGCAGATACAATGACTGTGAAATATGCTAGGTCATCTACCGTATTGGAGATGGCTCCAACCCCCTGGCTCATCCTCAGCGGGTCCCTCTTGCTATGGAAACGGGGATTGGGGGTGTCCTTTAAGTCTGGGGTCCAGCAATTCTCCCCATTGCCCTTGCCATTGTCCCTGCCTCCCTCTGATCACTCATTCTCTCATTTCTCATCCCTTTTATTTCCTCTGGGGGAGGCACGGAGGCCTAGGATGACAGAACTGGAGGTCACAGGCAATATTCCAATGTCAGGTCCCTGCATCTGGGGTCTCAAGCGGGTTGCTGCCCCTTGCTAGTGGCCGAGCTGCAACCAGAGGAAGGGTGTAGCACTCTTCCCGCCATGCCCCCCTTCTCCCCATGCACAGCTCACAGCTCCTTCTGTCTGTCTCTCTATGCGCCCCCCGCAGGCCAGCTCCGGGGTGAAGCAGTGGAACAAGCGCTGGTTCGTCCTGGTGGATCGCTGCCTCTTCTACTATAAAGGTGAGATTGCCCCTAGGCCTGCGGGGGCCGCGGGAAGCCAGGGCCCACCACTCTTCCATTCTGCCAGGTGACTGGGCTGTGCTTTGAATGGAAGTTGGGGTGGGGAACATCTCTCCCCGCTGCAGTCTCTGTCATCAGTGGGATGTCACAGTAGGATAAAGACAAACCTCATTGCTCACTTACGCATTCACATTCAGTATTTACCGAGTGCTTACTGGGTTTCAGGCAGAGTTCTAGGCCCTGACTGGTGACACAGGGGCTGAACAGGACAGTCATATGACAGATGGTGTGGTGAGTTCCAGGGGGCAGTGAGGAGGAAATGGAGGAAGAGAGGAAGGTCCTTAGTTACTACTAGCAGGTCACCTGCTAACTGGAGCTTGCATGCTGATCTTCCTCTGTCTCGTGGAAAGCACAATCCAATACGTGAAGTCAGCCATTTTTGTCCATTTTGGTCACTGCTGTATGCACAGCACCTACAACAGTGCTTGCCATACAACAGTAGGTGCTCCACCAGTGCGGAATAAATGAATATCCCCAGCTTCTGCTCTCTCTGCCCCACTCAACACTCATTCCTGAACCTCTCAAAAAAAAAAAAAAAAAAAAGGAGGGCCTAGATCTGCCAGCTTTGGTGCAGCAGTCTTTTAGGAAGGTATTTTAAAAATACTGTATAGGGCCAGCCGAGTGGCTCAGTTGGTTCAGCAACAGCGGTTCGATGCCCGGCCTGAGCTGAGCTGCCGCTGAGCTGCCAACAGGTGGTAGGATGGCTGAGCTAAGAAAAAAAAAAAATACTGTCTATGCAGCAGCATTGTGTCAAGGAGGGTCTGAAGGGATCGAGTGAGGGTGATGACAGTGGTGGTCCTGTCACACTGATGCAGGACCCTGGGAAGAGAAGGGTGAAATGATTTTGCAGTAGGAGAGGCAATTCCCTTTTCCTCTGTGCCCTTTCATGCCCCAGAAATGGCAGAGCCCTGACTTCTGCAGGCCTCCTGGGAGCAATTCAGTGAATCATTAACTTTGGCAAACAAAGGTTGTACCCAGTGTCCCACCACGGCGCTGCTGTCCCTGTGCCCTGAGCTGCTACCACCTGAGCCCTGAGGAGAGAAATCAGGGAGGGGCCATGTATACAGAGTCCAGTCACAGAGGAAACCCTAACATTGGGGCAGAAGAATCTATCCAGCCTGGCCCCCCAGGGTAGAGGGCTGCCCTGGAACCAGAGTGTGAATAAAGCTGGGGGAAAGCCAGGCTCGCTGCAGAGGAGAGATTCTGGGCCTGGTGTGAGGACAACCTTAAAAAACAGTGCACTTCAAGGTACACTGCGATAGGGGTCACTATCCACCGAGAGACGCTCTCAGTAGACCCCCTAAACACAGTCCTGGACAGGACCAGGCAGAGGGCCTGTCTGCTCTAGGGGCTGACAGCCCCTGCTTTCCCGAAGAAGTCCTGGATCCCCAGCCTGACTTCCTCCTGCTCCTTTGGCTCAGCTCTCCTCTGGGTACCATGCTGAGGCCTGCATAGGAAGCTGGTCGTTGGCCCACGTACGAGGTATGATCGAAAAATACTATGAATGTTTAAATTTAAAAAATGAATTACAGTAAAAGACACATTGCCATTAATCTCCCTCAAAATACTCCCCCTCGCTTTGAACACACTTACCCCATCGTTCGTGCCACTTTGTGAAGCAGTTCTGGAAGTCCTTTTTTGTGTCTTTCCTTCATCCTCCATCATGACAACACTCCATGTCACACATTGCTTTTGGTATATGGCAATTTCTGTCAAATAGAAACATGACGACGTGTCCTCATCCACCTTATTCACCGGATCTGGCACCGTGCGACTTCTGGCTCTTCCCCAAAGTCAAAATGACCATGAAAGGAAAATGTTTTGAATCGATTCAGGACATCGAGGCAGCCACAACAACACAACTGAAGACACTCACGGAAGAGGACTTCCAGAACTGCTTCAGAAAGTGGCAAGAATGATGGGATAGGTGTGTTCAAAATGAGGGGGTGTATTTTGAGGGGGATTAATGGCAATGTGTCTTTTACTGTAATAAATTTTTTATTTAAACATTCACCAGTTTTTTTTTTTATCACACCTTGTGTCTTGTGCAAGTGATGAGTAAGAGGAGAAGGGGAACTAGTTTATAATCCCTAAGATATTGCTTCTGATCCCTGTCTGAGGGTTTTACAGAGTTTCCAGCTCAGGGAATAAGGAGCTATCGGGGCAAGTGGGGGAGGGTTTTGCCATGGCCTCAGAGTTGCCCCCCACCTGTCTCACAGAATACGCCCACCCTTTCTGGCCTCTTACCGACAGCTGGGGACTCAACTAATCCATCAGGCTCCTTTGGAGATCCAGGATGAATTATGTAATAGCCTGATTGTTAACCTGATCCAGGGACCAAAGGACCAGGAGGCCATGCAGGGGCGAGTCTTCCTGTGGAGAATGGGGACTGTAAAGGGGAGGGGCCTGCGTCAGGAGGGGACAAAGCACGCTGCTGGGTGCCTGGCAGAACCTTAGAAACAGTTACCTAGAGGAGCCAAAACTGAAGATGGGACTTTCCACTCTACCACGCCCTATCCCATTATTATCCTGTTACACGTATAGCCGTTGGAATAGTCGAAAGGCACTACCCATAGGACAGCGGTTAAGAATGATATTATAATAGCTTGGGAGTCAGACTCCTTGGGCTCAAAGACCAATCCACCACTTTCTACTTAAGTAACCGTGGATGAATTACTTAGCCTCTCTGTGTCTCAGCCTCCTGCCCTATAAAATGGGGTACTAACAGAATCTGTTCATAGGATCGTTGGGAGGGTTAAATCCATGAAGACATTGCACTAGAACAGTGCCCAACATAGATGGAACTCTCTAAAACGTTAGCTCGAATTGATTTGCCTCCTTGTGTACTAGAATGTCAGCCCCCTAAGGATGGGACTACTTCCCTCTCACCCACCTCTGTAGTCCCTGTGTCTACAGCATGTCTGCAGAGCTTCCATGCAGCCCAGCGCTCCAACTCCAGAGAGCATGCCTCTCGGGGCTGTGCACAGCACAACCCGTGTGGTGGTATGTGGTGGCCCTGAGCGCCTGTCACACAGTAGAGGAGCAACAGACACGCATGGCTTGTTGCTATTTATCATAATAGGGCCGATGTTCTCCTCTCTCTTCGCCCCGCACATGCACACATTTGTGCACACACGTCTCACCCGTGCCCCTGTTTCCCAACAGATGAGAAGGAGGAGAACATCCTGGGCAGCATCCCCCTCCTGAGCTTCCGGGTGGCCGCAGTGCAGCCCTCAGACAACATCAGCCGAAAGCACACCTTTAAGGTCAGTTGGCCCTCCTCTCCCAGGTCAGATGGGGGAGGGAGGCCTGTTCCTCTAGAGCATAGGGGAATAGAGAAGCGTCAAGAGCCTCCTCCCAAAGGAGTCTCAAGTGGTAGCGGGGAGAGGGAGTTGGCGGCGGCCCCGGGACTCAGTGCAGGCTGTTATGAGGCGGAGGCAAGGCCGTGCTGGGACCCCGTCTTCTTTCCTCAGGGGTCGGGTGGGTGGTGCTCCCTAGGGTGGGCCAGTAGAGATGTGCTTCAGTGGTACCACAGTTGTTCTCAGGGGAAGAGGGAGACGAGTGTATCAGCCCTAGTAGGATAAAGATCAATAAATATAGCCCAGCTGTGTCCTGAGCCCCCGGATCCTCTGCCCAGTGGCCTGGCGCCTGGAACCCGAGAGACACCCCTTCCGCTGAGGCAGGAGCTACGGGCTGCGGGTGGAGGGGTTGTGAGATCCTTTCTGGAAAGTCTCTTCCCCACTTTGGGCCCAGGGAACTAGATCAACAGTCAAATTTCAATCTTTAGAGAAAATCAGTTGAGTCTCATTGTAATCAAGAGAAGCAAACTTCATGTAGACCATGCGAGCGAACAAGTATGCAGGAAGATGGGCCTCGCAGGCTTGCTCTCCCTCAGAACCCCTGGGGAGCCACCCATGAAAGGCTGCAGCTGGTTCATCCTAGGCGGTGTTTTTCCACATTTAAAAATTCATGACCCATTGAAAACAATAAAAATCCCCGGCCCTTTTTGTATTTTATGATGTAAAGGCCCTAGGTTTCTTTTCATTTTCCAATATGAAATTACCATGCTTGGTACAAAGCCCTCTCTCTCCCCAGTTGAGAAGTGCTGTCTGAGGCCCCGAAAACCTAAAGCTATGGTGTTAGATGCTAGGGTCTGCAGGTCATACCAAGGCAGTGTCTGAGCCCCTTTCTGTCCTTCGGACTCTGGTCACCTGGCCGTAGAGAAGACTTCTTTAGCACGTAATTAGTTTCCAGCCTCCCTGGACCCTGTGTGCCAGAGGTGTGAACAGAATGAACAATTAATAAAACTCTGGCTCCAGGGAGCTGGGTTCTAACTGGGAAATAGGAACAGGCTGTTTAACCAACAACAAACAGTCCTGCTATACACAGACGCGCACACACACACACCCACACAATCAGACAGCCTGTCTCACCCTCCCTCCCAGACCTGTGCACACACACATGCACACACTTTGCTAGGAGCTCAGCAGGCACGCTCAGCATCCCGATGACTGACATGCACCCCCCCCCCAAAACCTCAGACCTCACTTCTGTTCCCATCAGCTCTTCTCCTCCTTCCCCATCCCCCAAAGGCGTGCACAGCCACTTTAAACCCAATTCGGGGGACTGTGCTCAGTGGCCACAAAGGATTCCAGTTGTGGCTGATGAGAGGCCCTTCCCCAGGGAAAGGGGGGGAGCTGAGACAGATGGGAGGCTTGCTCTGCTGTGGCCACCGAGTGAAGCTCTTGGGTGGCTGATATTGAGCCAGGGCTGTCCCTGCCCCTCCTACTGCCAAATGCCTTAACCTCGTCCTATCCCAGCCCTGCGGGAACTCAGTGGACTGCACCCCACTGGGGCACCACTCTCAATTCTCTGGTCCCCTTTTCTGGCCCCAGGCTGGTGTCACCTCCCGTTCCCCTTCAGCTGCCCTTCTTCTCTGGGCCCTCTGTCTTGCCCTGTTGCCAGCAGTTGTTCCCAGGCCTTTGCTCCCTCCTTGTTTCCCTGTGGGCATGTTGTGTTCTCCAGCTTGACCGTGAGGTCTTCAAGTGCAAAGAGTATGTGTGCTTTCCTTGTGACTGGTGCCCAGAGCAGAGCTCTGCACTCACAGAAGGCTCACTAGATGCTTAGCACGTTAACTCCTTTGCTGCCCACTCCTGACAGCCCCAGGACACACCCGTGAGCCCCCTCTGTGTCTCTCTGCCCTCGATGATAACCCTGTGCTCTCCACCCCAGAGGGCTTGCCTGGACCCCTGGTCTCCACATCCCTGTGTGTAGTTTCAACTCCCAGACACCTCCTCACAGCTTCACTGGCTTTTCCTCAGCACCCCCCTGCCTCTGCTGACATGCTGGGCCCCCTGCTGGAGGGTGGGGACCCGCAGGATCCAGAGGAAGGAGGCCCATTTCTGCCCCTAGAGGAGGATGCACCCTCACTGGGTAAGGGCTCCTGACGGAAAGAAATCCTGTGCAGAGGAAAGGGGCTGCCGTGGGCCCGCTGGGAAAGCATTTGGAGGGTGTGGATTTGACATTGCTGCTAAGGAGAGCCCTGGGGCTTTGTCAGAGGAGCTCTGTCTTCTCTCCTTCTCATTCCCAGAGATGCAGGATTTAACACCCAGGGGTTCAGAGGCCAAAGTGAGGTCCCCATCTGAGACTCTTAATCGCTTTTGGGTCTCTCATGCTGAGTGGGATAAAGAAGGCCACCTGCTTTTTCTGGGAGATTGAAGGTCTCACCTCGGAGTATGCTAAGGTCCCAGAAAGAAGCTACCTCTGGAGCACCTTGTCCTGGCAGCTTTTTGAATTTTGAGTTTCACCAGGTAGACCCATCCCTATTCAGCAGATGCATCATTTAAGGCCAAAGTTGGTTAGGAACAGGGCTGGGGTTAGCACCGGGATGCTCTGACTTCTCTCCACCGCCAGCCCAAATTCCCTTGGTACAAGCCCTTCACTCCCCCTCCTGGTGGGTTGAACTGGGGACTTTGTTGGGTACTGTCTTCCCAATGGTTGACACCAAGTGGAGGGGGATGGTTTGAATAGCTCCCCACTTCTGTCTGTTCCTTAACATTCCTGCCACGTCGTCTTCTGTCTCGTCCTTTGGTGTTTGGTTGACCTGTTCTCTGCTTTTCCTCCTACTGACCGCGTGAGGACCCCCTCCTCTGGACAGGAGCTCTCTTCTGGGTTCCCGCCTGCCGCACCTGCTCGCAGCCGCCGACTAGGTAGCGTGCTCTGTCTGTCTGTGCATGCCCCTTGCATGCCACGGAGAGAGGCCTGGCTGTCTCTGCACGGAAGAGACAATGCTAGCTTCTCAGAGGCCAAGAGACTGGCGTGTGCTAGGGCGCATCTCTCCCAGACGTTGGGTAATTGTCCTTCAAATCAAAGATGTAATAGGAGAGTGGGCATGATGGTTGTCCCCCCTGCTTATAATCACCTCAGGTGGGACAGGTGAGCTTACCTGGGCTCCCCAGGGCGTCCAGAGAGCTAGCCAAGGCAGGCATGTGGACGCCAGCTGGAGCACTTGGGATAGCTGTGGGCCACCCTCCTCACCTGCTCCTGAGCTCTATGTGGGAAAAAGAGCCGCCGATGAAGGGAATGGCCTTCCTGACCACCCACTCTGTGGCGTGGGTGTCTTCTCCCTACAGGTGACTGTGTGCTGGGTGGACGAGGCCGGGGCCGGTTCCACGTACTGCCTCCCCCCACAGGCCGAGCATGCTGGGGTCCGCACCTACTTCTTCAGTGCTGAGAGCCCCGAGGAGCAGGAGGCCTGGATCCAGGCCATGGGGGAGGCTGCCCGAGTACAGATCCCCCCAGCCCAGAAGTCTGTACCCCAAGCTGTGCGTCACAAGTGAGTGCCAGAGTACGGGGCCTGGGCATGGGGAGTGCTAGCGAAAGAGGAAGAGAGGACGTGCCCCATTCTGTGCTATCATGGAGCCCAGCGTGCTGGCTTGAATCTCTGAGAACAGGTGAACTGTCTCCTTGCATCCCAGCAGGGTGCCTGGTTGAGTGATTTCGGAGCTCACAGTCTCTTCCCCTGACCTGCTGCTCCTCTTCTGTCTGAGCTGGCGGAGGCCAAGCGAGAAGCCAGATTGCACTGGGACCAAGAGCCAAAGACCAGGGTCCTTTACTCATTTGTTCTTGGCTGTGCATGTTAAGCACACAGCCTTTGGAGGAAGGTGGATTCAGGTTTGAATCCCAACTTGGCCACTTGCCCCCAGTGCGACCTCAGTGTAAGTTACTTAATCTATGTGAACCGGAGTTTCCTTTCCTCAAAGACGGCAATTATAATCCCACCTCACAGGCTGTTGTGAGGACTGAGCAGTATATAAAATACATGGCGGCTCCCATGACTCCCTCATCTGCTGTCTCAGCGCCTGTTTGTACTTGAACTGGCTGTTGAGTCCTGAGTGAGATGTTAATGGGGATCCAGGAGGTATTACAGTATCGTGTCCAAGTCTATTCACATGTCTTAGAAATGTGTACCGAGCAATGTCTCAACGAGGACGCTTGAATGTGTTGAATTTGGGGAGCTACAGAAAGAACATTGTCACGAGACGCCAAATCTTTGCTTCAACCAAGGGGCGTACGCCCTGGAGGTTACTCGTGTTTTTCCTTATACATTTCCTACAAATAGAAATGTGTAAGGCACTTTAGCAGGTGCTAGGAAAATAAGGAAAATTCTGACATGCTCCTGCTTCGTGGAGCTTATATTCTAACAAAAAATCAGTCCTGGGAAAAGCTTGTTTCTGAGAAGGGAACTAGCATGTTTCTATGGCTGTGAAGTCTGAGGCAACAACTTCTGCCATGGTGCCTGCCATGTTTGATCTCAGACCAGCCCTATGAAAGGAGGCATTGTCATCCCCATCCTGCCATCAAGGAGCCCAAGGCTTATGGAAGTTGAGGAACGTTCTATAGGAGAGAAAGCTGACCTATAAGAAGCCTCTGTAGCCGGGTCATTGGTGCCGTGAAACTTCAGTATAGTGTATGCCAAGTTTGGGGGCTAAACCAGGGATAGACGACAGAGGAGACCAAGTCTTGGGCATAGCTTGAAGGCTGGGCTCAAGGCAGGTTGGCAGAAGGGAGTAGAGAGAGACCCATGGGAGAAGACCCGGAGGGTAGAATAAGCACAGATGCATAGGCAGGATTGGATGATTTTTTATAAGTAGGAAGCAGAATAGTAATTTGTTGAATTTTGTTCCCATCGCTACCTTCCTGCCTATCCTTCTCCACTCCATTTCTCCTTCCCAGTCTCCCACCCCCCACCAAACTCCATGCTGGGCTGCAGTCACTTACAACGTCTCCCTTGGCACCCTGCAGCCATGAGAAACCAGATTCAGAGAATATCCCACCCAGCAAACACCACCACCAGCCACCGCACAACAGTCTCCCCAAGCCTGAGCCAGAGGCCAAGACTCGAGGGGAGGGTGATGGCCGAGGCTGTGAGAAGGCAGAGAGGAGGCCAGAGAGGCCTGAAGTCCAGAGTGAGCCTCTGGTGAAAGCCAATGGCATCCAAGCTGGGCTGGAACCAGTCTCAGAACCCGGCAGCCCTTACCCAGAGGGCCCAAGGGTCCCACGGGGCGGGGAACGGCCCAGCCAGCCCAACGGCTGGCAGTATAGCTCCCCAAGCCGGCCAGGGAGCACAGCTTTCCAGCCTCAGGACTCAGAGAGTGGGGAACACCGGCGGAGCTTATCCTCACACGCCAACCCTGACAAGATCGCCCAGCGCAAGAGCTCCATGAACCAGCTTCAGCAGTGGGTAAACCTGCGCCGGGGGGTGCCCCCACCTGAAGACCTTCGGAGGTGAGGCCTGTTGGGGGATGGGGGTGGAGCTGGGATGCTGTCATGGCTAGGGGGCAAGGGCTGGGGGAGGAACGTGAGAGGCATCCCCTGTTGGAAACCTTCTGGAAGCCAGGCTGAGTTGGGAAACAAAACTCCAGAATTCCCAACTCACCCAAATCCCTGCCCCATGGCTCCCTCTGTCCTTGATTTTGCTCTCTACTTCCTTCAGAGGAAGGGACAAAGCACCCAGGGCCTCTCCACAGGGTGTTGGGTGGCCCAGGAAACAGGCCGACAGTGGTAGGGAGGAGCCTTAAAGTTGCTCCAATCTGACATCCATCTGCTTGAGCTTCCGACCCTCTTACAACATCCTCTGTTCCAGTGGTTCTACCAACAGGAGACTCACTAACCACCAAGCCAATTCACTCCATTTTTAAGCAGCTCTAATTATTTGAAAGCCAGTGTTTATAAACAGTTTTAAAAAGAAAAGTAACAAAATGTTGCCACTCATTGACCCTACTTCTGCCCTCTAGAACAATTGACTTCTTTAGTGACAAAGGTTTGAAGACATTGGTTGGGTCTGATCATCAGGGCAAATGGAGCTGCTTTGGGCAGCTTGGGGCTGTAGGTGACAGACTCAGGAGGGCTGCTCACTGCTGGTGGTCTGGCGCCTGGGGCCTCCGGCCTGCCCTAGGGAGAGCGCCTCACTTGGCATGAGTCCCATAAAATCCAGGAAGCTGCCCTTTGTCCCTCCTCTGTCCCTCTCCTCCAGGTGAAAAAAACAGAAGCTTTTTCTTCTGTTTGCCTTTCTGGACAGGATCTGATAAATTGGTTCACACTGAGATAGTGATGGCTAATAAGGCTTAAAGTTTCTCCCCAGGGGTATTTCATTTTAAAGAGACAAAAATGGAAACTCTGAGAGGTGGAATTTTGGGTCTCAGGGAGCTGATTGAGAGAGGAGCTCTGAGGAGGGGGTCTTCCCTGCACCTCTGGACACAAACGTGGTGCTCTGCGTGCTCACAAGGCCAGCCTGGGGCAAACCCCATTCTAGGCTGTAGGACAAGGAGGTGGGGCTGGGGCGTGGCTGGATGGGTGGGGACGTACCCCCTCTGTCCACTTCTTTACACTGTCCTCTCTCTCAGTCCCTCTAGGTTCTACCCTGTGTCCCGCAGGGCCCCCGAGTACTATGGCCCCTACTCCTCCCAGTACCCTGATGATTACCAGTATTACCCACAAGGGGTGCGGCCGGACAGCATCTGCTCCATGCCCGCCTACGATCGGATCAGCCCGCCCTGGGCTCTGGAGGACAAGCGCCACTCCTTCCGCAATGGGGGAGGGTGGAAGGAGCCTGCTGGCTATGGGCGGCAGGATGGCACTGTTTGGATCCCCAGTCCCTCCCGGCAGCCGGTTTATTATGATGAGCTGGATGCCACCTCTGGCTCCCTGCGCCGCCTGTCCTTGCAGCCCCGGTCCCACTCTGTGCCCCGCTCGCCCAGCCAGGGCACCTACAGCCGTGCCCGCATTTACTCCCCGGTCCGTTCACCCAGTGCCCGTTTTGAGCGGCTGCCACCTCGCAGTGAGGACATCTCTGCTGACCCAGCTGCCTATGTAATGAGGCGATCCTTCAGTTCTCCCAAGGTGAGCCACCAACCTTCCCCTCCTCCTTCACCCCCCTGCGGTATCCCAGAAGCCTGAGACCATCTGCTGAGAAAAGATGGAGCTGTGGGGGCATCTAGGATACAGGGACACGGGGCTGTATGTCAGAAGGACCAGTGATGCTGCTCAGGGGGCCACAGGCCCTGTGGTTCCATCCCCAGGAGTGCCGCCCTGGGGGACTTGCTTTGCCCCTTAAATAGGAACATTGCTCTCTGTACCTGTCCCCAGATTGTGCCAGGAACCCTAATTTTACGTAACAGGGCAGAGAGTGTTCTATCTTTTCAAGTCTTGAGGACCTGGGCAGATCATTGCAAGGATATTACGCTAGACAAATGCTGTCCATTTTAGCTTGGAGTCTGCCCTGGGACAGGATACAAACATCCTTAACCTTGAACTTCAGTTGGTGGGGAAGTCCGTGTCCCAGCCAGGCCCCCTCACCTCTCCAATCCCCTTTCTCTTCCAGTATGATTACCTGGGAGACAGGCGGCCAGTCCCTGCAGGACTGTTCCCCTACAACTACCCACCACCCCCCACGGTCCACGATAAGATGGTACGTCCTCTCCTTCCCCTCCACTCCCTCTCAGGATCTCTCCTCCCAGGGTGGGCCAAACAGGGCAGACACAGGGATGCTCTGTGCCCAATGCCTGGCCCATCTGGGGTTGAGCAGCCTCTGGCTGGATACCTCCTCCCTCCTGGCCAGGACTCTAACCCCAATACAGAGTTTGGTGCCAGTTGTTCCTTCTCCTCTGTGACACAGGGCAGAGGAGCAGGGACAAGATCTGGAAGCATGTAATGTCCTGATCCTCTCATCCTCAGAACACGCCTCCTCTCCAGCATGCTGAGGGGCCTGGACATAGGTGCAGATTGTGGGCAGGGAAGGAAGTCAGGCTAACGCTCCCAACAACAGGCATGATCTTCTAGACTTCCCCGCTAAGCGTATTAGCTTCCAGCTTATCCTTGCCTGGAATGTCACTTTGGGGAAGAAGACAGTGGTAGGACTGAGGAAGAAAACACTTTCCATATTGTGTCTCCTCCTCCTTTCCTTTCCCCCTTCTACTGTGTCTTCCTGGAATTTATTCTCCTGAGAACTAGGAGAGCTAGATGCAGGCGCTCCACTTGGAGGCTGGGGGTGGAGGGCAGGGAGAACCATTAGAACCAACAGGCAGAATCCCCATCCACAAAGGCCTGTTGCTGTCCCGTCTCCCTGCATGGCACCAGGAGGCCAGGGTGGAGGGGGCCTTGGCGGGCAGGGAGGGCTGTTCCTCCTTACCTTCTCATTTTCCTCTGCCAGTGCCCAAACGCTATAGCCTTGACACACGGTAAATGCACCCTTCCAGAAACAACCGATTTCCCCAGAAAACTCAAAAATAGCTGCTAGTCATGCTGACTAGATTGCTTCAGTGGTGCTTCCCTCACCCAGGGAGGGCCAGGCTCACCTAGGAGCCATGGAGTGGGCACCCAAGTGTGTCCCTCCAGGAGCTGGTCTGGCGTGTCCAGTGAGCGTGTCCAGCAGGCAGTGCCTGCCCACGTCCTCATTCCCTCCCTTCCCCAGAACTCCTCAAGGGCAGAGAGGCCTCTAGCTGTCCTTGCCCAGCTAACTCTTAACTGCTTTGCTTCCTTTTTATTGTTTTCTTTTGTCGTGTTCCTGTTTGTTTGTGTTGCCGTTGGGCCTCGGGCTCCGGGTAGGATGAACTTTTAGACCTTCAGTTGCAAAGAAACCTAGAGTATTTGGATCAGCAGGTAGGCAGAGCTGGTGCCCCTCGCTGCCCCCCTGCTCCTGTCATGTCTACCCACCCTCTCCTTCCCACCGCCTCATCTTCCATCCATTTGACACCCTTTGTTGGCACAAGCAGGACACAACAAAGTGGCTTATATTTTGTTTGTGCCTTCACACCCCTTCTCTTCAAAGCTCTTTAGGGCAGCTGGGAGTTTCTTGGGGAAAGAAGAATAATAAATGACCACATGAATAATTAATGCTGCCTCCTATTTGTTCAGCCCAGATGGAACTGCCCCTAGGGGACAGGCAGGAATTTGCATCTTTGCTGGAGAGAGTGGCAGAGATGAGAGGGGAGCGCCAGGCTTGGAGCTGAAATGCTAGGATTTAGTTCAGCCCGAATCTGGGAAATTATCCAATTATATTCCACAGGTTGTTATTAAACTCCATAATTTATAAGTTGAGGACTATGGATCTCTCTTAGGATGACTTAAAAATGACATCAATTCAGTATATTTGTTAGTTTCTCCATGCAGTTTTTTTGTATACATAGCTCATGTTTTCCTGAGACGTCAGTACAGGGGACTGGGGGAGTATTTTCAACCCAGTTTTACAGATGATCATCCTGAAGAGGCAATGAGTTTTCCCACATGATGGAAGTGATTGGCTGCCTGGGCTCCCAGCTCCAGGGCTCCTACCGTTTGCTGCCTGGCCTTGTGAGGCTGAGGGAGCCGGGTTTAGACAGGCCAGAGGTCAACATACTGGACATTTATCTGAACACATACTCTTATGTTCAGATCTGGGGGACTTCACCAAGCACACACTGTCCTGTGGAGGCAGCCTAGGGTGGTAGTGCAAATAATAATGATAGTACTAGTACTGCTACTACTACTACTAATGGCAACACCTACCATGATTGGGTGCTTCCTTTGTGCTCCATACTATTCTAAGCACTTTACAGATCCTAACTCATTTAATCTATATAATAGCACTGCAGGATGGGTACTGTTATTATCCCCATTTTATAACTGATGAAACTAAAACACAGAGAGGTTAAAAAACATGCCAAGGGCATACAGCCAGTGCACAGCAGAGCTTTTGACCCAGTTGACAGCCGAGGAAACATCTAATATATGAAGAAGCTGGGTTCATTCCTCCTCAGGATGATTTTGTGCTCTCAAAGTTGTAGAAAGAACCGTAAACATGAAATCAGAGGATATAGCTGCAATGGTTGGTGGTTGTGGTCACAAGCCACCTGAGCAGCATCTTACAGGACCTCCATGTCTTGGTCAGTTCATCCTCGTAGAAGACCTTGAGCCCTGGGAAGCACTGATATCTACATTTTAATCAACAGGGATGGCTCCTGGCCCTCAAGGACATAGCATTTTAGTTCCGGAAGCAGTGTGTGGTGTCCAGTACAGGATCCCAGCCCAGAGCAGGTCTGGAAGCACTGATTGCCCTGCAGGAGCAGAGGCTGTGGTGCTGGGGAGTGGTGAGGGGCAGGGCTCAGTGTCCCCGGGCTCCGGGCAGGCTTTCCTCTCTGACCATCCACAATGCCTGACCACCCAATTAGTCAATGCAGACAGCAGTGCCGTCTCCCGAGGCTTCTGCCCTCCCAGAGAGGCTGGGACCTTAGGCTGGGGGTTCAGAAATAACTTCTCAGAGGACCTCCTCCTAGATAAACATAGACATTCTAGGTAGTCTTAAAAATCAAGTTGATATGATTAGAGCCCAGAGCACTCTAGTTCAAGCTCTGCCATTTATAAGGATTTTTTTTTTCTTTTTAAACTCTGAAAATGTCACTTAGCCTCCCTGGGCCTTTGTTTTCTCAATCATAATATGGATATTGTAGAATTTGCCTTTTCTACCTCAGAGTTATTGGAAGAATCAAGGAAGAATTTATATGAGAGCACTTTGTCAGGCATTGGCGAGGAGTGGTAATTGCTGCCATGATTATTTTATTGCTCTTTTTCTTCTAAAACTCAATTTAAAATATTAACTGAGTGCTCTTACTATGTAAAAGGCACTAGGCTATGTGCTTTCTCACAAAAGCTCTCTACCATTTTGGGGAGACAGTAGATGGCACACAGGAAATCCTCCTACAGGCACGACCCACATGGGCCGAAAGATTCCCAAAGCCGCAGCATGGATGAGAGCAGGCCAGGGTAAGACTATTCCTGCTTCCCTCCTTTATTGCTTTAGAGCCACTTGTTGGGGAAGGAATGAGATCAGTGGGTGTTCAGTGTTGGTAGATCTGCCTTGTCTTACACACACACACACACACACACACACACACATCACATCACACACAGGCATGACACACAGGCAGCAGAAGTAAATATACACACACATGCACACCCATGCACATTAAAAGCAATCTCACACAGGCTCCGAGAAGATAGGGATCAATCTGAGTTCAGATCCTTACAGAAAATGTGGTTGATGTCCTGTTGACTTTTAACTGTTCACAAAGACTCAGTCTCATGTTACAACTACTCTTTGGAAAGCCTTTTAAATGACATTTTATGCCATAGAAAAAATTTCCAACTGGGCTAAAGAGGTTGAAAAGTCAGATCCTAGGAAAGCCTTTTAAAATGCTGTAGACCCTGCACATGTGGGTAGATGGGTCCACAGTCCACAGAAGCAAGGCTGCATTTGTGCTGCCATCTAAACGGGGTACGAGGAAAAATACATGTGGATCCAACAAAGATTGGGAAGACAAGGGCAAAAAAAGGGTGGGGCTTCCCTGAACTGTGACCCCAGAAAATCTGCCCTAAGGTGGCCCTGTCCCTTCCCTTACTCACTTCTCCTCCCTCAAAAGCTTTTCCTGCACACTCCCTTCTGTCTTCTGCTTACTCCTGCAGATGAACCGAGTTAAAGGGACATAGGACACTCCCTAATATGTTCACTTTTTGATGCTGTCACACTGGAATCAGTGGGGGAAATGATGGCATTTCTGGTTGATTCGTTTGACTTGTCCTTCCTCCCTCTCTCCCTCCATCCTTCACCTTTCTTTCTCTTTCTTTTTCACTTGGAAAAGAGTCTTTCCCACTCCGTGTTTCTAATGATCTTTGAAACGTAAGATAACGTGTTGGGAGAGCAGTGTTCCAATATCTGGTGTCCCTTTAACATGGCTTGCTTGTTTTGGCCTCCTTATTTGCTCCCTAGCATCATCCAAGATCGACATGGATGCTACCAGCCCAGCTCTGGAAACCGTGTTTAGCAATCCTTTCTACTCTAGAGCCAAGAGGTGGGCAGGGGTTGGGGAGAGAGACCTGTGCCTATAATGTTTGGGAAGGCCCCTCCAAAGAGCAGCAGGTCCCAGGTGTTCTTTCTCAGTTGTTTCATTTGTTATAGTGCAAATTTTGGGAGATGGGCCTTTGCAACTGCCTATGTGGTCTTTGACCAAAGAACGCAGTGTGAGAAATGAGAGCTGGGGCAAGGATATGACAACCTTGGGCCAATGTGGATGAGACCCACGACACTCAGGCACCCTGGGGAAGTGTCACTGGGCTGGGACCTCTTCAGAGCTGTGAGCAAGGACACAGTGGCCTCCCAGCTCCCTTCTGTGGCCTTTCCTCAAGGGCAGCTTCAGTGCTGGTTCTGTGATGGAGCTCACAAGGGGTGAGCAGTGGGTAAGGCCAAATAGAGGGTACTGGAGTCCCCAAGAGGAGCTGCTCGCTCTTGTTTCCTGGAAAGCAAGCACAGGTGGGTGTTGGGGAGACATCTCTATATGGGTCTGAGTTTGAATTGTCCATTCCTTCCTCTGCTGCAGATGAGTGAGAGTGAGACTCTCATCAGTATGGTGAACCGCATGGTGGAGAGCTCCTCCCCCAGAGCTCAACTCTTCATGCAAGTAAGACCTCTGCCTGGCAGCGTGGTCCCTGTCAACACCATTTTAGCTGCTTGTGCATGGTCGAGCTAAGCCATCTGAGATGGGGCTTGCTTCACCCAGCACGCTCATCTGCCAGGCCTCATCTCCCAGGCTCAGCCTGGTCCCCCTCCTTTAATTCCACCGTGTCTCCTCCATTTTTCACATTCATGGATGAACCCAAGGCCCGTTTCCCAAACCATCAATATAGCCAGCACTGACATCTCATGCCTGCCAGGGATCACAAATCTGCTTTGTAATGTCTAGGACTTCTATTTTATATTTGGTATCTTCTTCACAGACATCATTGGGATTAAGGGCATAGGGGTGTGATGTGGAACCATCCAATGCCAAAGGTGTGTAGAGTATGCTGTGGTTACCGGATGCGTCATCAAGGGCAGGGAGCATGTGCTGGACCCAGAGATACTTCTGAATTCATACCAATTCTGGTTTAGGCACAAGCCCTGTGACTGGTGTCTAATCCATCAGGATAATAGTTCTCAAATATTTCCAATGCTCATTGCATTCTCCCATGTCTTATCCTCAGAAACAGACAAGGGTTAACTGTTGTTCTCATGTTTGTTACCAACAATCCCTCTGGAAGCTACACACCCCTGGAATTCCTCCCAGCAGTAGCTTCTAGAGCATAGGCAAGAGGAGATACACAGCATGAGCTGAGCAGTATCTCTGTCTCCAGAACCAGCCTAGGACAGTTGGGATGGAGCTTAGACTGGACCATCTGAAGCTTCCCAGCCAGGGAACAGAGAATGACCTCAGCTCAGGGCCCTGGAATGGAAGCTACCAGAAGTGATGCATTGTGGTCTGGCGAAAATGGAGCAAGGGTCGTCAGCTTCCTCACCCCCACAGGCCCTTCTGTCCCCTGCTGCAGTAACCGGCCTCATGTTCCTGCAGGTCCCTCCGTACTCAGAAGTGTTCCGGGACAGCCTCCACACCTACAAGTTAAACGAGCAAGATACAGATGTAAGAGCAGCTCTCTGCTCCCTCTGTCCACTCCAGCCCCTCCCACTGTTGTCCTTGTCCTTGAGCTCCTCGTCGGGGCTTCTCTGTCCATCTCTCTCCTTCTCGCAGCTCTTCATACATTTGATTCATGTCCTTGCTCACCACAAAGACAACAGCTTGTCCCTCCTCATCCCCCCTCTTTTCTCATTCATTCCACTGACTTCCCATGGCTGTGTTTCCCCACTGAGCTCCTAGGCCCCATTATCTGCAGCAGTGGGATCTGCTTGTGGCAGGAACACAAAGTTGTTAGGAGGTCAGTTAGTCAGTCCACTTTGTGCCCAGCATGGCATAGTTCCTAGGCAACTGGAGAGAAGCACATGGCTGTGCCCCTGCCCTCAGGGAGCTTCAGAGTAGTGGCAGATGGCCAGGGGGCAGCATATGATTCCTATACTGAACAGGCCCGATAATGGGGTCTGTGGGAGTGAGAGACTATGGGCTGGTGAGTCAAGGACAAAATAGGTAGCGTGTGAGCTGGCCTTGAACTGAAAGGCCCAGAAGGCAAGATCTGGCTCAGTGGAAGAGAGCCGCAGGCATGTAGGAGGAATGGCATGAGTACAGATGTGCACACCGGAAAGCAATGTCTTTCCAGAAGAAAAGTTTGGCTTGACCTGCCTCCTCTCCATCACCAGTGGCCTTGCCTGGGTAGTGGATCTGCCCGGCATGCCTGGGAGAGGTTCCATCCAGGCAAGGACCAGACTGCCATGGGACCCCAGTGTCAGCCATCCTGAGACCCTGGAGGGAGGAAGGGAGAACAGGTGCTTTGGGTCTGGGGAGCCAGTTTACATTGTCCCCTGGTTTTCTGAGACTGTTGTTCAGACATCCTACCTGCCCTTCAAGTCCACACCCACGGAGGAGGCCTGGGAAGCCAGGCCACATTATCTGCTCAATCCTTGTGAAATGGAAACCCTAGGAGGACAGGAACCCAGGAGCTTATCATCTGGCTCTCAGCCCTCTTCTCTCTCAAGCTGACTGACTTCCTCAGAGAATACACATACCTCCCCTCCCAGTGGGTACTTGGGGAGTCTTCCAAGGTAAAGACCATCTTCCTGTTCCCAGGAGTGTCCAAGGTCAAGGTGAAGGGGCAGAGTTCCTCAGCAAGGGAAAGGAGGCGGTATCCAGAGGCTAGGCCCTGCCAACCCAAGTCTCAGGTTTCTATCAAACTGTGTCCTTCACCCCCTTCTCTCTCCTTCCCTACCCCTCCCTTGGGACCCCAGAAGCTGCTGGGCAAATTGTGTGAGCAGAACAAGGTGGTGAGGGAGCAGGACCGGCTGGTACAGCAGCTCCGAGCTGAGAAGGTGAGAGCTAAGGGGTGGCCTTGAATGGGGGCACATTGGGGGCTGGTTTGGAGAAAGTGTGGGCTGCTGTTTCCATCCTCCCCATCACTGGTGGTCTTGCCTGGGTGGTGGATCTGCCAGCTGCCAGCTTTGCCTTCTTTGAACTTCTGTCCTGCATTTTTTTTTTTTTTAGCTGAGCCATCCTGCCACCTGTTGGCAGCTCAGCAGCAGCTCAGCTCAGGCCAGGAATTGAACTGGCAACCCTGTTGCTCAGAGCTCACACTCTTGAGCGAGCTCTTAACCAACTGAGCCACTCTGCTGGCCCTGTCCTGCTCTTAATCAGACTTGCTGAAGCTCTCCTGGGGAGCCTTAGGGGGAACCTCTTCTGAGCTGCCTTGTGGAACCTCTAGGGCTCAGGCCTGTGTTGCTAACAATGCCAGAGAGATCTTGGGGCTGCTCATAACTTTCCCCCCTGCCTTTCTTCAGGAAAGCCTGGAAAGTGCCTTGATGGGGACCCACCAGGAACTCGAGATGTTTGGAAACCAGCCCACCTACCCAGAGAAACTGTTGCACAAGAAGGAGTCGCTGCAGAACCAGCTCATCAATATCCGGGTGGAGCTGTCTCAGGCCACCACGGTAACCTGCGTACTGGGTCTGCACCCTGCGGGAGAGCCACCCCTTCCAGGTGGTGCTCCCCTAATCCCCATTCTCCTAGGAGAGCCAGAGCAGGGTGCTCCTCTGAAAGGGGCATAAACTTTAACACTGCCTTGCAAATAGGCAGCCAGTATGCCAGCCTGCTTTTTCCATAAAGTCTCCACCAAGGACACTGGCGAATTTTCCACCAACTACATCTGCACCAGGATTTGTTCAGGACAGCATAAAACTGGGGCCACTCATTTCCTTGGCTGCTCTAATACCTTTGCTGCCCACCTCTATCCTCTCGCCTGGAAACCAAGGACACTGGCGGCAATGCTGCTGCTCTGGTCATTTCCCGGCGGGCACAGGGCAGACCCTACAGTAAAGACTGACTGGGTAATAGCTCTAGGGACAGCAGCAAAAGCCCCAGGAAAGGGTGGCCCAGAAAGGAGGACAGGCTCTAACCTTGAGAGAGCAAACATCTTCCCTCTGGCCCCTTTACTTTCGTCCTCCAGTTTCAATCGCCCAATCTGGGGAGAGCAGTGGGATGAGGAAGCCATGTTACCTGCTCTGGCCTATCTACATATCTTGAGAGGATGCTGTCGTCTCTTTATTTTGGTTTGCAGCAGGATGGGCTATGGCACCTCTTGTAAGGCTAGGGTTTGGCTGTCATCAGAATGCCTTGGCCCTATGCACTCTCCTCCTGGCCTGCTGTGCCCTCCTCCTAGACTTGCCAGACCTCAAACACCTTGGCTCCAGGCCCCATAGCAGGATGAGGAGGAATGCTAAGCGATGGCAGCTTTCTCAGTCAACCCTCCCCAATGCAGGCTTTGACGAACAGCACCATGGAGTATGAGAACCTTGAGTCAGAGGTCTCTGCCCTTCATGACGACCTCTGGGAGCAGCTCAATTTAGACATCCAGGTAAAAAGGGCCCTAAACAGGCAGGGGTTGGCATGTGCTTTGGGTCTTCCCTTTTCCTTTTGTCCAAAAGAGACCAAAGTGGCTCCTTTCTTGCTTTAGAGATTTCAGAGACTTAACATGAGGAGTTGGTTCTAAGATAAAAGACAAGGTTCAAGGCCACTTAAGCAGACTCTAAATTTCAGGATGAAGATAATGTGGGATTCTTCACTTCCATCAAATCACAGGAGATGGAGTCAAGTGGAAACATGGGAATTTAGGTTAGACATCAGGTGTTTTAACAGACTTATAAATAAATATAAATATATTTATAAATATACGAGGTCTGACAATTAAGTTCGCAAACTTCCCACCGTATGCTTACATTGGCAGCACTGTACAAACAGCTTGGTAAGGTTTCATAACCTTGGTGTATCAGTGTCTCACAGCTGTGTTCGTGTTGATGTGTGGCAGTATCTTGCTGAGTAGCGTTCATTATTGTTGTTGCATATTTTTGTGTGCCGTCATGAGAATGCCTGAGCTTGAATTCGAGCAACAAACAAACATTAAATTTCTTGTTAAATTTGGCAAGAGTGGAAGTGAAATTGGGGACATGTTAGTCTAAGTTTATGGGGATAATGCCATGAAGAAAATGGCAGTGTGCAAATGGATTAAATGTTTTTCTGAGGGGAGAGAATGCATCATTGATGAAGAGCGGTCAGGGCAGCCAGTAATAAACAGAACTGATGAAAATATTGCAAAAAATCATTGAATTATATGTCAAAATTGTTGGCTGACTGTGAGAAGCATAGCAGACCAAGTAAATATCGATAGGGAAAGTTAGGAAAATCTTAACTGAAAATCTTGGCATGAGAAAGGTATGTGCAAAAATGGTCCTGAAGGAGCTCACCGATGAACAAAAGCAAAAGAGAAGTCCGTTTGCCAAGACCTTTTGGAGAGGCAAGACGATGTTTTGGCCATGTTATCACTGGTAATGAAACATGGCTGTACCAATACGACCCTAAAACAAAGTGTCAAAGTGCACAATGGAAGTCAGCCAATTCTCCACAACCAAAAAATTTCCGTCAGTCGAAATCAAGAGTCAAAATGATGTTGCTGACCTTTTTTGATATCAGCGGGATTATTCATTATGAATTTGTACCAACTGGACAAACAGTTAACCAAGTTTACTATTTGGAAGTGCTGAAAAGGCTGCGTGAAAAAGTTAGACGACCTTAACTTTTCACCAACAATTCATGGCGCTTGCATCACGACAATGCACCAGCTCACATGGCACTGTCTTTGAGGGAGTTTTTAGCCAGTAAACAAATAACTGTATTGGAACACCCTCCCTACTCACCTGATCTGGCCCCCAATGACTTCTTTCTTTACCTGAAGAGAAAGAAAATATTGAAAGGAAGACATTTTGATGACATTCAGGACATCAAGGGTAATATGACAACAGCTCTGATGGCCATTCCAGAAAGAGTTCCAAAGTTGCCTTGAAGGGTGGACTAGGTGCTGGTGTCAGTGCAGAGCTTCCAAGGGGAGTGCTTTGAAGGTGACCGTAATAATATTCAGCAATGAGGTGTGTAGCACTTTTTCTAGGATGAGTTTGCGAACTTAATTGTCAGGCCTCGTAAGATAAACATAAATCTCTCTCATAACATGAGAAGAGTAGGCAGTTTGGGAGCAATCCACTCAGAAATTTTAACATAGGAAGAGGCTTTCCTTTCTGGGACCAGTTAGAAACACTCACCTGGAGGCAGGAGGCTGGACACATTGACCTTGGGGCATCTTGTTCTTTTCCTCCTCCTGCCTTTTCTCTGCCTAGGCTTTGCCTGTTCTCTAGGTAGCTTTGCAAGCCCCATATCTCTTATGCAGTTAAATCCCTCATTTCCCCCATTTTCTTCCTGTTTTCTTCCTCGTAACAAAACTCACCACCCCAGCCTTCCAGCTGGTTAGGGAGGGTGAGGTGAAGGCCCTCCTGGTCCAAAGGACCCAAATGCCACCATGTTCTGCAGGCAAGCCTCACTTTCAACATGCACATTTTTTAGACGATAGGGTAGTATCATGGTCAAGAGCACCAGCTCCTGGAACAAACAGACCCAGATTCAGATGGGGGTCACAGGACTTACTAACAGATGGTTGGGCATGAGGCCCTTCATCTCTGAAGTGGGGACAGCTGCTGCCCTCGCCTCAGAGCTGTGCAGCCTAAATGGGTTAGTGTACACAAAGCACTTAGCACAGCGCTGGGTGCAGGGGGTGCTAAATAAGTGGTGGCTGTTATTTTTCAAAGAGTGAACACTGTAATTGAATATAATTCACGACTATTTGAACACATGTTGGCTGTGGGTATTACAAAAGGGCTGTTTGAATGTGAAGAAAAACAAGAAACTGGAAGCTCTCACCCCTGGAAAACAGGCTACCATAAAATATCCTCCTAAAGGGGCCATCACTCCAAGACCACCCTGGTCTCCCGTGGGGGGCTCTGAGGGGTGGGCCATCACTCTCTCTTGGTTCTAAAGCCTCAGGTTTACCTGAAGCCCTCTCCTCTGGCAAATCTGACTCCATGTTATAGATGCTGAAGAGGCAAAGGCTGTCTGTGAAAAAGATGAATGTCCTGGAGAGGTGTGTGTGTGCTGTGTGTTGTGTGTATGCTGGAAGGATGTGTGTGTGTGTGTGTTGGAGAAATGTATGTGTGCTGGAGGGATGTGTGTGTGTGTGTGTATGTGTGTGTGTGTTGGAGAAATGTACGTGTGTATGTGTGCTGGAGGGATGTGTGTGTGTGTGTGTGTGTTGGAGAAATGTACGTGTGTATGTGTGTGTGTGTGCACGTGCGTGTGTGCGTGCGTATGCTTACATAGGTTCCTGCCTACTGCTGGTCCGAGGGATGCAGGGAGAAGGCTGGGCTGCTCCTTTGCAGCCACTGCCTTGACTGGCTCTGTGGCTGTTGCAGAATGAGGTACTCACCCGGCAAATCCAGAAGGAGATCTGGAGGGTCCAGGACGTGATGGAGGGGCTCCGGAAAAGTAACCCATCCCGGGGCACAGACACAGCCAAGCACAGAGGTGGGTACCTCCTCCACCTGCCTCTTGGGCTCCTGGCCTCACCAGGAGTGCTCCAGTGTCTCTGACCTCCGTCCCACACTTCTCCAGGCCCTCACACTGTGTTCAGAGCCAGCCAGGGCCTTCTCAGGGCCCCAGAATCTTCCCTGGACCCTGGGATGGTAGGTAGGGCTCCCTTATCCCCCACCCCAGGATAGACCAGATATACCATTCAGAGACTCTGTCAACCCTGATACCCTAGATTCCTCCCCGGAAAAGGTCAAAGAGCATAAGCCCATGGGCCCCTTGGTGGTCTGAGACCACTACCTTAGTAACTTGCTTCAGCCTTGGGACCTTGAGCTGGCTTTCTTTGACATCTTGGGAGCAATCGCATCACTTCCTTCCATCATCTTCCCCTGTGCAGCACACCTCTCCAGCATGTGACCCAGCCCCTATAATAAGGAACTTTGGCAGGCCTGAGTGGCTCTGAGACACTAAATCCTCCCTCCCACGTTCCTGGATTCACCCTGGCCTCTTCTACCTATGGAGCCCATCAACACTCCAGGTCACACCCCTACCCCATCCCTCATCTCTCTCCTCTTGTTTTCCCCAAGGAGGACTTGGCCCCTCGGCCACCTACAGCTCCAACAGCCCTGCCAGCCCTCTCAGCTCCGCCAGCCTCACCAGCCCCCTGAGCCCTTTTTCACTGGTGTCTGGCTCTCAGGGGTCCCCCACCAAACCTGGGTCCAATGAGGTAAGCTGAGAACACGGAGTAGAAGGTAGGTGGGAGTGGGAGGATCAGGTCCTCATTTGCCTGAAACTACACAAGTTCTGTGCCCATGGCTTCCCCAGAGGCCTCCAGCACTAGTGCTTTGGTACTCTGTCTAAGGTAGTCATTCTCACATCCAGTTTGGTGAACTTTCCTCCAGATTTCTCCTTTCCCTGTTCTCGTCTCCATCTGCCATCTCTAGCTTCCTTTAAGGGGAGTTCCTTCCATAGCACCAGGATGGTTAGCCAAGATACCAAATACTTTATAGGAATTTAAATCAGGATTGTTCTGGGGGTAAGAGGGTTGAGGGCTGGTACGGGGAGCAGTTTCCTAGTCAGTCAATCATCAAGTGTTTAGTGAGGCTCTACTGTGGGTGAGGGATAGTAGGAGGCTCTCTCAGAAAGACACCCACGCACACCCAAGGCTTTCAGTTAGGGAGCCCAGCGTCCAGTAGGGACCAAGACCAATTCACAGTTAACAACCCGCCGCAGGAATGTGGCTCTGGGTGTCTCGATACCGAGCCACATGGTTCAGACTGTAAATGCTCCAATGTTCCAAAGAGGGTGGAACTTGAACTGGGTCATGAAGCATTGGGACAGGTAGAGGAACAAGGCATCACAGGCAGGAGAGATGGCAGAAGCACAGGTACAGGGGTGGGAATGCGTCCAGTGTGATGGTGGGGCAATGAGGAGAGAACCTTGGAGAAAAACTGGGGAGCACTGGGGAGTGTACACAGGTGGGGCTGAATCAAGGCGAGCCTGGAAGGCCAGGCAGAGCATTAACTCTGCAGTTGGAGCTCTGTCCAGGTCACGGGTGGGCGTTTGGTGATCCAGGGCCCACCGGGTCTCAGCAATGTCATCTACTTCCTGCTAACGCTTTTCTCTCCTGCTCTCACAGTGGCTGCTCTTTTGCCTCCTAACGCTCTGGCTTCTCTCCGCCTCAGGAGCCTGGCCCACCACGGCCTCCCCTCCCCAAAGCCTACGTCCCCCTGGAGTCTCCTCCCACCGTGCCTCCACTCCCTAACGAGAGCCGCTTCTGGCCATACCCCAACTCCCCTTCCTGGCACCGCAGTGGCGAGACAGCCAGGGGTCAGGTACCCAGCACCCTTGGGTCCTGGAGGGCAGGGGTGGAGGGAGCGGGACAAAAGGCCAGGTGAGGGGGCAAAGCAAGACACTGAGTCATTTCCCCGTTCCAATATTAATTTTCCTACACCTCAATTTCCGCTGGGCCCTCTGTGCAGCTGGACTCCGGGTTAAGGAAAGGGATGGTTGAGACACTCACTAAGGCCCTCATTCATCTATTTGCTTTCTGTGGACAATGGGGAAATGAGTCACTCCTGGGTGGCCCCTGGCCATAGGTGATGGCATGACCCACTCCTTACCAGCCTGATCAGATGATGGGCATCAAGGGACACCCCCCACACACACACACACACACACACACTCACTCACACTGGTGCCATTCCAGTCCTTCTTGCTCTTGTCCACCCCAGGCCCCAATCCTCCCGTAATCTATTTCTGTCTCTGCCTTGCCTATATCCTCTCTGAGTCTTACCAGCCCCTGTAGTGTAAGGATACAGGTCCCTTTATCCCCTGTTCTGGCCCCTTCTCTTGCCTGGATCCCTAGCCGAGATCCAGGTGAGTTGTGCAGTTAGGTTTAGAAGAGGCTGCATGGTGAGTAGACAGAGTCCTGTACCTAAAATTGGGAAACCCATATTCTCATCTCAGCTCAGCTACTGGTACGTGCATAATTCTGAGGGTCTGCCCAGTAAGGTGGGCAGAGCAGGTAACAGCACCTCTGTTTTACCGATGGCGGAAGTTGATAGGACCTATCTATGCTCTCTAGCTGGGCTAGAGTGGAGGTTTCTAACCTCTGGCCTAGGTTTCTTTCTCTGTGCCCCTCATGGAGACTTAGATTCTTCAATTGCACAATGGGAGGTAATGGCACAGATGATGGCTGAGGTCCCTTCTAGTCCCCTGATTCAGTGAGCCACAAGCTAAGTGCCCCTTTCTTGCCCCCAAAATCCTGGTACCAAAGCTCACCTGGTTCTTTTGCTCCAGCACCTGGTTCTTTTGCTCCAGTCTCGGGTGCTATCCTGACAGAATCCTCAGAGATCCTTGGTCGTAGCCCCCTTCTCTGGCTCACAGCAAGTCCATCCTTCATGGTGCTTGCCAAGGGGACTGGTCGGGTTAAGGGAGCTTCTGGAGGCCTGAGCCCTCATTTCTTCTCAAGATGACCTTGCATTTGGCCGCCTAATGCCTCCCTGCCCACTTCCCAGCTGGCACATATAGAGTGTCCCTGTCCCATATTTTTAACAATTGATAAACAAAGAAACATCACTAAGAGCCAAATTCCTGCCACTTGCTCTAGCATCAGACATCTTCTCATCCTTTCTTCCCAGCCTAAGGCAAGCTGTGAGCAAAGCAAGAGAGAGCCCCACCAGACATCACCCCTGGACACCTCTAGAGACACCAGCCTTGTGCCCACCAGGCAAGAGGTGGAGGCGGAGAAGCAGGCAGCCCTTAACAAAGGTACTTCCTATGCCGTCCTCCCCTAGAACTAAGGCTAAGGGTCAGAGAGGCGTCCAGGGAGGCTCTCATTCACACCCAAAGAGAGCACTTACCCCCAAGCCTCTCATCTCTGAGGTGGGCGAGACTGAGCCTGTCTGCGAAGCAGGCACCCTGTCTCCCTGCCTTCCTCTCTTCATGAGACCCATTAGCTGCTCCTTCTCCCTGCAGTTGGCATTGTGCCCCCGCGGACAAAGTCACCCACCGATGAAGAGGTGACCTCATCAGGGGTAGTGAGGAGGAATGCCAATGGGCTCACCAACGGACTCTCCTCCAGAGTGAGTATCCCCCTTGCTGGACTTCAAGAGCTCGGCAGGCCTGTGCCAGGCCGGGAGCCCAGGGCCTCTGTGTGTCCACCCAGCTGTCATTACTGTTCAAGAAACCCATGACTGGAGGGAGAAAGCAGGACAAGCAGCAGGAGAGCAACCGCCCTACTGGGGGAGTTCTTTAAGGAGACCTGTCAGGGGACAAGAAAGATGTGCATAACAAAGATAAAACAATAGTTAACAAAATTATTACCATGTGCCAATGATGACATGCAAATGCAGCAAAAACCAGTGGTCAGAGTCCAGGGTGCTGGCCCAAGGCGGTGTGTTAGTGTCCCGGGGCTGCTGGAAAATTCACAAAATACCACAACCTTGGTTGCTTAAAACAACAGAAGTTTATCCTCTCACAGTTCCAGAGGCCAGACGTCTGAAATTAAGGTGCTGGCAGGGTTGGTTCCTTCTGGAGGCTGTGAGGGAGAACCCACTCCACGCCTGTCTCCTAACTTCTGGTTATTGCTGATAATCCTTGGTGTTCTTTGGCTTATAGACACATCACTCCAACCTCTGCCTCCATCTTCACAGCACCCTCTACTCTATGTAATCTCCTTGTCTCTACAAGGACACCCATTATTGGTTTTAGGGTCCACCCTAATTTAGGATAATCTCATCTTGAGATCCTTAATTATATCTCCAGTATAAAGGATATGACATGATACCCTTAATTCTAACCCTATTTCCAAATAAGATCACATTCACAGGTACTGGGGATCAGGACTTGGACATATTTTGGGGGGATCGCTATTGAACGCACTACAGGCAGGCTTTGCAGAGAAGGGAAATTTAAGGGATTAGGGTGGATGGAAAAGCTGGGTGGGAGATGTGGCACCTGTCAGAGCCCGTCTCCCACTGCAGCAGGAGCGCCCCAAGAGTGCCATGTTTCCCGGCGAGGGCAAGGTCAAGATGAGCGTGGAGGAGCAGATTGACCGCATGCGGAGGCACCAGAGCAGCTCCATGAAGGAGAAGCGGAGGAGCCTGCAGCTCCCGGCCAGCCCGGCCCCTGACCCCGGACCCCGGCCTGCCTACAAAGTGGTAACGTCCTCCCAGACACCCATAGGCATGGCCTGGTATCTGCCAACACTGCCCATTCCCGTGGTGTAGCCAGCCTGGGCGGGAGAGGTCGGGGGTAGGCTGGGTTTAGAGAGGGTGGGGGCTGGGGAGGACACAAGCTGGGCACCTGGGGGACCTGGAGGAGGCTTCTCCCCACCGAGCAGAAGAGACCCTGCAGCAAGTGTTTCCTTCTTTTGTATTTAAAGAAAAATAACTCACAAAAAGGGGTGCTGTTTTTGTTGGAGTAAATTACACAAAATACAGTTGGTAGAGGATAGTACAAAATCCACCACGCAGAAGCAGCCACCACTTGCACACATTTCTAGAGCACTTTCTGTGTGCGTAGCGTTGGGCTGGGTATACTGAAGACACCTGTAATAGCTTAGAATTTAATGGCACAATACAGTTCACTGCTCCCTTTCATGTTATTATGTTTAGTCCTTTCAACAATGCTTGGTTAGTAATTATTATCCCTATTTTAGAGCTAGGGAAACAAAGTCACAAGACTTTGTTTTGTGGGCCACACAGCCATGAAGTGCAGAGCTGGAAGAGCCCAAGGCATCTGCCTAATTTTTCTTTCCACTAAATTTCAGAAATACAGAAAAGTTATGACTTTAGAAGTCCTACCCACGGTTTACATTCTAGTTGGTGGATTGGAACTTCCGTAATATGAAACAGTAAGCGACCAACGTAAGAACACTGATTCAGCTCTCCAAAATATATGGCACAGGAGGTGAACACAGGGCACAGCAGGATAGGGAGTGACAAGTGTTGACAAGAGATAGTAATGAGATTTTTACCTCCAGATGCTTGTAGGTGGGCAGGCTTTGGATAAGCAGCACAGAAGCAGTAGGGTGATGGCCAGATTGGGTGTCCTGGGCAGGGTCAGTGAGGACATGGCATAGTTAGGGCTGCTGTCCCCTAGGTGCGCCGTCACCGCAGCATCCATGAAGTGGACATCTCCAACCTGGAGGCGGCCCTGCGAGCAGAAGAGCCTGGTGGGCAGGCCTATGAGACGCCACGGGAAGAAATTGCCCGGCTTCGAAAGATGGAGCTGGAGCCCCAGCACTACGACATAGACATCAATAAGGAGGTGAGCAGACTCCAGGAGGCAAAGGGGGAGTAGAAGCTCTAGGACGGATGGAGGCAGTGACCTGGGTCCCTCCACAGCTCTCCACCCCAGACAAAGTCCTCATCCCCGAACGGTACATTGACCTGGAGCCTGACACTCCCCTGAGCCCCGAGGAGTTGAAGGAGAAGCAGAAGAAGGTGGAGAGGATCAAGACACTTATTGCCAAATCCAGGTAACAGGCCTGGGTGAACCTCCACTTCTGCCCACCTGGCACCTAGGACGCCTGAGGCACTAGTGCCACTGACTCCAGCACCCCAACCCATGTTGTTAGGGACCCTGGGCCTCCCCAGCAGGGAGTAAATGGAGACAGTGGCTCAGGGCAGCGGACTGGGCCCAGCCCTGTGGCCAGGGCAATAAAGCTGCTGTTGGATGCCCAAAAGACCTGCCAAGCTCATGCACATGCTCTCATCAAAACAAACTGATGGGTTGCCCTCTGGTGACTTATTTTCCCCTTTAAGGCTGCTCTAAATGTTTACTTGAACTTTCTAATTCATTTTAAAATATTGTGGGTAGGGGTCCCGACATGTGTTTTGCCAGGTCCCACTCACCCCTTGGGACAGCCTTGCTGGGGACCAGAGTCTACACGTGCACAGGCCCTTGCCCCTTCCCCCACCAACCTCAGTCCACCGCACCCCCCAAGCCAATTGGACCATCCTGTCCCCCCACCATGTCTGTCTGTGCCTCTTCAGTATGCAGAACGTGGTACCCGTCGGCGAGGGGGACCTTGTGGACGTGCCCCAGGACTCAGAGAGCCAGCTGCAGGAGCAGGAGAAGCGGATTGAAATCTCCTGTGCCCTGGCGACCGAGGCCTCCCGCAGGGGCCGCATGCTGTCTGGTGAGAGGGGCTGGGCCTCACTCTGCCAGGGAGACCGGCTGACCATGTGTAGGGGAGGAGGCACGGCGCTGCGAGGGGGCCAGGGACAGAGAGGAACAGGGCCAGGGAGACGTTCTTCAAAGTCAGGATGGGCATTTATTGAGCACCATGTACTGTGCTAGTCTCAGGGGGCTGCACAGGGGCCAGAGTTGCTGGCATGCTGGAGATCAGAGCCATGATGACCCTCCCGCCACTATATGGAGGAATGGCCCAAGCCATGCAGAGGTCACAGGGAGCCAGTCTACCTGGGCAGGTCGGGAAAGGCACAGAGAAAAGGTGATAACTGACTCGATTGGGAAAGATGAAAGTATTTACTAGTTGTGGAGTGAGGGCCAGGTATTCCAGGGTATCCTTTCACTTCCCATTTTTGCTGCATGCAGATAGAAAGCATGAGTGAAGGTGGTGCAGGTGACCAAGGAGCTAGGGCTGATACAATCACCGCTTTGGCTACTGACCCCAGCCTACTTTTCTGCTAAGAAAAGATGAATCTGAGGAACTGACTTCACACTGGTGTGAAGGGCAGCAGGTCCCAAGTGGATACCATGAGGTTAAAGTCAACAGGGTTTTAACTTCTGCTTGGCCTGAGACATGGCCCGGAGTAGATGAGAATGTAGTTGGCAAGAATGAAACGAATGAGGATGGAAAGAATGAAAGAAATTCTGTATGAACAGGAGCATGAAAGGTAGAGGAGACAGTGGTTAAGTCATGAAGACTGGGAAACGGAATATTTTCTCCTTCTCAAGACAACGTGGTTAAAAGGGAGAGGAAGAGGGAGAGGGAGAGGGAGGGCTTTGAAGGCCAGTCAAGAGGGATGGATGCCAGGTTTGCGATGACTTTGGTCAAGGAAATAGAGACAGATGTGCCGGCCACAGTTACAGCAGCCTGGGCGAGAGTGAGGCAACAAGCAGATAAGGGTTTGGGCTAGGAGCTCATTGGAGGGGGTGGTGTTTCATGTTGATGATTAAGAGGGTTTGAGTTATGGATCTCTGAGACTCCAGTTCCTCATCTGTGAAATTCAAATCAAAATACCTGCCTGGTGATGTGAGGAACAGAAACAATGTGTGCTAAGCACCTAGCACAGTGCCAGGCACTCAATAAGTGCCCAGTGAATGCCAGCCACCTGTAGTAGTAGTGGCGTTGGTGGTAGTACTAGTTGAAATAGCAATAGCTGAAATAGAAATAGGAACCAGTTGTGTTTTGGGGTGTTTTTTTTTAGTGATTTTAAATATGGATATTTTAGAAACCAAAGGGTCTTAGGCTACAAAGAAGGGGATTTAAGTAAGCCTTAAGAAAGAACCTACTGGCAGTTAGGTATAATGGACATTAGATGGGTGGCCAGGAAAAGCCCCTGGGGGTATTTCGGAGAAAGGCTGCCAGTGAGCTGGAGTTGAGGGCAAGAGATGGCTTCAGAGAGCCCTGTCCTGCCAGAGTCAAAAGGCAGCAAAACCAGTTTGGCTGCAAGGAGGCCTCTGTCAAACCTCCCTGTCGTTTAGCTGTAAAATGAACTTGGACCTTCCAAAGATCAAATTCCACACGCTCTGGGCAGAAGGCAACTTCCTGTTTCAAGGGTTAGAGCACGAACCACACTGTTTTTAGTACTTCCCTCTGCCCCTGCCCCAGCCCCTGGCTCTCGCTACTACAGTTCCCCAGCCAAAGGTTCCACGAAAACAAAACCCACCTGGCCTATCAGATTCCCCCTCCGTACACACAGGCTTACATTTCAGGGTCTGCACTGAAAGCAAGCAGTCACCTGGCTTTTGCCAAAACCCCAACTATTTAAAAAATGGCTGTGGCAGGGCTGGATCTCAGACTTAGCCCACTGTTCCCACTGCCCCTGGCCCATGGCCCAGATTCCCAGAGCTGCAGCTCTGCCAGGTACAGCAGGGACTGTTCCTGGGCACATGTAATGAAGGCATAGGTCCTTGCTGGGGACCTATGTGTATGGGGACACTGGGCACAGGGCGTGAGGACAATGCAGTGGATATGGGATGTAGAGTTAGTGCCCGAATATGGGTGTGTGGCGTGGAGGGTGTGGTCAGTGGCGAGAGTTGCAGCGTTTGTCAATACACCCGGTATGTGCAGATATGACAATTTTAGGTTTGTTTGTGTGGCATGAGGTCATGTGCAGTGTCTGTATCAGTAATGTTTGTATTTGTGTGTATTCAGATGTGTGGGGGAGGGAATGTTTGCGTACAAACGCAGGACTGTGTGTGTGTGTGTGTGTGTGTGTGTGTGTGTGTGTGTGTACACATACGTGTATGTGTGTTTTCTGGGTGCTGTGTGGAGACCCATTCTTTATGAGTACAGGTGGTGTTTGGTAAGCTGTTGGAGTGTAGATATATGTGTATATGGTGGTATAATACAAGCTTGGAGGTGGTGTTTATAATGCACATGCTCGCGTGCGATCGTCTTTCTTTGCAGCATGGGGATGATAAGAACAAATTGGTGTACATGTGCACAGTATATACTGCAATATTTGTAAACATCTGTCTGTGTGAGATTTGGGGAGAACACAGTCTCATGAATGTGAGTACATACGACCCATTATTTGTGTACGCAGATGTGGTAGTGCTTATGAACACATAATTATAATATCATATCTGTCCACTACATGCCTGCTGCATATGGGAATTTTAATTATTTCAGTGGGTGTATTCCTAATATATATTTAGTACTTCTCTGCCTTCTTGAAAAAGTTATAGTTAACATAATTACTCTTTCTTGCTCTTGCTCCTTTAATGTCATTATAAATACCCTTATTTTGCTGACCTCTGTTAAAAGGATGCCCTTAGGGGCTATAATCGGTACAGATCTGTTTGTAGCTATGTTACATGCTTCCAAATGGTTACACTTTTAAAGTTATTACGTCTACTTTTTACAAAAGATTTTCTCTCTTCGTTCATGCCTTCTTATCGATGCCTCCATTCCTTTCTCTCTTCAAATTTTTCTGTTTCTAATCACGCATGGGCTAGAAACCCAGCTTGTCAACACCTAGTAGAAGTGTGTGTCAATAAGAGTGATTGGACTCCAAGGAGCTCTTTTTTGAGTGAATTGTAAGAGCTTCACTGCGTGTATATTGTGACATCTATTTGGTTGCCTTGACATGGTCCTTGCTTAGCTTTTGGGTTTTTGACTGTTTTAGGAACTGAGGTTGCCAGATAACTAACCATCATGATATAGACATACACACGAATATGTGTTTCGAAAGCATTGGTGAATGTATTTGTATGTGAAGTTACAGGTGTGCTGGGCCATGTGGAAGTGCACAAACACACATGTGTATGAGATGTGTGCCATGAGTGTAAAGATACAGTGTTGCCAGATCCCATGCACAAAGTCTGCATTGTGTGTGGGCACTCACGACTTTCTGCTCGTGAGAGAGCGCCATGTCTTCCGTACATATGTGGGTGTGTGTTCATATGCGGCGGGCCCTGCTCCGGCCCTTTCTCTTGCACAGAGGACAGGGAAGGTGATGAGGTTCCCCGCAGGGTAAAAGCGAGGGAGCAGGAAGGTCAATGCCAGGATCCCTCTCTTGGAGGAAACACAGTGTGACCGTGGCTGAGGTCTGGTTCTTCTCTGAGCCCAAGTGAGGACATCCTCTCTGCCCCCGCCCCCCCGCCACAGCTGCACTGAGTGAGGGTGCCCCAGGGTCCAGAGACTGCATAAAGCTGGTCGCTAACAATATGATGCCCATCACATTGTTCTCTACATGGGATAATAGTGATAATAGAGCAAAATCTCATTAATTCAGACTCACCATTTAAAAGTTTGTAGTGATTTTTGGGGGGATGGATGGACGTTTGCCTTTACTGGACTGATGCTAGGGGTCTTGAGTGACAGCGTTTCTGAGCCCTGGAGCCTACTTTCACGGAACTCGCTTTCAGTTTGTCAGAAGCCTGGATTAACATGGTGATCACTTCATTTCAATCTAGACATAAATGGGGGCTAGTGATTTGGATTAGTGTGATTTCACTGCACTATTAATCACTATTATAGCGCTATCACCATAGACAAGGTGCCGCCTCCCATCCTGTCTGCACAGTTTTAGAGAGGTGTGTGAACCTACCTCCCCATTGTCTGGATGGGAGGGGAGCCTGAGGCCCGGAGAGGCCGGGCCTTGCTCACAGTCATACTGGTTCTCAGCAGAGCCTGGATTCGGCCAGGTCTCCTCTGGGGCCCCATGCTTTCCTCCACAGCACCCGGAACCAGGTAGGCTCTGCCTCAGCCTGAGCAAGGACCCGGGCTCAGCCCTCCTCTCTGCTTGTCACCCGCCCTGCTCCCTGCCCACCGGAGCAGGGCGTCGCCTGCTCCCTGCCCCCACCCCACCCACCCCGATTCACTTCCCTGTTCATTTCTGTTTCCAGTGCAATGTGCCACCCCAAGCCCTCCCACCTCCCCTGCTTCCCCGACTCCACCAGCCAACCCCCTATCGTCTGAATCCCCACGGGGCGTGGACAGCAGCCATACCATGCGGGTCTGAGCTCTGACGTAAGCACTTTTCTACTGTATTTCATCCACCCCAGGGAGTGGGACCCCTGCCCTCACCCACATTGAGCCATCTGCACCCTCTCATGCTGGCATTGCTTCTCCCCTCACCCCCAGCGCCCCGTGCCGCTCTTTCCCCACCATCCGATGCTTGAGCCCCCAGCGTCCCTGTACACTGCTGGACTAGGGCTGGCTGGGAGGGCCGCTTCTTGGACGCTGCAATGCCAATGGGCTTTGCTTCTCCAGAGGCAGTCAGGGAACAGAGCTGAGGGCTCCCTTGCCCGCTGTCAGGAAGGAATTTCCCTGACACCCCATCCCCGTACCTCCTGTCAGCCAACAAGCCTTCCATCTGTTGAGATACGCAGCAGTCCTGCTTCAGGAGCCCCCAGAAACTATTTCTCCCAGATCACACCTAGATCTTATCGTAAATGAAAATAACATCGGACTTGATAGCCAAAGGCTGGGCACCTTCCTTACCCCTAGCACACAGCTGCTCAGTATCAGGCAAGTGGAGAAGCACATGGACTTCTAGTCATTTGTTCCCCTCTCTCAGGGTTGAGGGAGTGGGGCGGGTTTCCACAAGGTTTTTACAAGAAGAGAAAGGTTGTGTCGAGTCTGCTCCTCTGTGCACAACTTTTCTCACTCAATTTCTCTTTTCTTTAGTGCAAGCCCTGGCCGAGGCCAACGCTGTGAAGCTCAACAGAGCCACCTTTTGAAGCCCTCCTCTGCCTGCCTGAGGTCCTGGACCCCAACCTGGCCCCAGCCCCTGTGCTCCCGTGGGAAAGTGGCAAGGAGCCAGGCTGGGGGCCAGGGGTTGCTGCTGAGAGGAGCACGGATACCTCAGTGTCCACACACCCACCCCATCAGGCCCTGAAGCCCTCCTTACACAGACAGTGGTCCTAGGCCAGAGCCTGACATGATGGGGTGCGGAGCACCCTGTGTGATGCCCAGGTCACGGGGAGCCTAGGCCTGACTCTGGGTGGGGTTGTGATGGCCCTACTGGAACATTTCCCGATGGAGAAGACACTGTGGTGGAGTAGACGCCCTGGGCTACCGTAGGTTAGGACTACCGGTGAAGAGAAGATGGACTCTGCCTCTTCCCGCCCTTCTTGACACCAAGGACAGCACCTGCCATCATCCCCTTCCCCCGTCACTCCCACCCTTCTGCCCCAGCTGTACCTAGGACTTGACACATCTCTGCTTATCGGTGCTCCTTTGGGGTCCAGTGGAGACTGACCACCCTGCTTGAGCCAACCAAAGACAAGATTGACACCAGATACGGAGAGGCTCCTTGGCTCCCAGAGGGCACAGTGCTGGCTGTGGATGGATAGCGGCAGGTCTCTGCAGTGTCTGAGGGGAGGTTGAGAAGGGGTAGGGGAGAGGAAGGGAGAGTTCCAAGGAAAGCAGGAGGGAGAGAAGCAGCAGGACTCTTTTTGTAAGTAAGAGAACAGAGGTGGAAAGGGGGACGGGATTGGTTTTCCAAGGTGGAGCCTTAGCTTGGTGCCAAGTACAGTGCCACACTGTCCGTTCTGCCCCTCCCTCTTCATCCCCAGGGTCAGTGGGCCTGCCGATGGAAGGGCCCCAGGAGGACCCGCCAGCGAGCACACAGTGGCCTTCAGCTGAGGTGCTTGGCAGGGGGATATGGGTTGGGAGTGAGGGGGCTGGGCAGGACAGTCTAGGAGATAGATGGTACTTGGTAGATCTGGGCCTGGTGTGTGCCTCCCCTAGTGGGCTTGGGGGCAGAGAGAAGGACCTGTCTTAGGCAGGGTGTGGTCAGTCTTGGGGCCTCTCCTAGCCACTTTCATGACATTTTGTTGTCTCCCTTCCCCCCTGGAATGTGCTGTGGGCCAGCTGAGAGTATATCCAGGCAGTGAGAATGCAGCCTTACCCTGGGAGGCCAGGTTCTAGGACCCTGCCCTGTTTCCCAAGCATCCCAGGTGAGGACCAGCGGAGGCCGTGTGAAGGATTCCCTTGTAGCTTGGCTCTCTCAATCCACTTACCCAGGGAAGCCAGTCAGGGAGAGACAGAAGCAAACTCATTCTTCCTTTGCTCCACCTACCTTGAAATGAATGTAGCCAGAGAGGGGGGGGGGGGAGACTGCAGCTGAAGAGCCTTGGCCCCTAAGCCTTCTCTTTGCCAGAGTTGTTGCCCCAGACTCCAGCAGCCCCAAGTACAACTATTTCATCTTCCACCAGTTCTTCTCCACTCCTTCATGGTTGGGGCAGTTACTGGTTCATAGGCAAGAAAAGATGACAGTTCATTCAACAAATAGTTATCGAGCACCTTTATGTACCAGGCACTGTTCTAGGTGCTTAGGATATTCTCCGGCTCCTAAGGGATGACAGACTGAGGGGATTCCACTTGTCTTCACTTCTAACATGAAGTGGGTCGAGCAGACCCACTTTTTAACATGACCCTTGGCTACATTTCCCATCTTTAGCATAGCTCGAGCACCCCAAACTTTCCTTTCTCCCCCACAGGCTGGCAGGTGGGGTTGGCTCCCAGGAACCCTCTTCATCTTTCCCCACACCTTTCTCCATCCACAAGACACAGATTTTTCGGGGCCTTCCATGCCTTCCCCTTCCTTTGTCCTTTTTTTTAAGTGATATTTTTAGAAATACATGTAAAATACCAAGGATTAATGTCTGCACCTCTCTCTCACCTCTTATTTCATAAAGCTGGCCCTTTATGTTGCTTTACATGCCTTAATATATGTTTTATGAAGATTATACATATTATAGATATATATATGTAATATATATATTTGTTTGGATGTCCAATCCTTCCCTAGAACTCCTGCCCAGGCCCGTTGTGTCTCCTTTACTTTCCACACCGTTCCTAGCATGTTACGGCTGTACCCCATGCCTTTTGATCCAAAGAAGGGGAGAGAAAGACTTATTTTAAGATAGATCTATTTTACGCTTTTGTTATAAAAGCAAATCTATTTTCAAAATGTGCAATGTCTGAATGGAATTGGCGAGCGATATGAGGAGACTGGGGTGGCTGCCTCTAGATCCAACCCTTCACCCCTTCCCTCTTCCCCAGTCTGCAGAGGGTTGGTCCCCAAAGCTCGCCAGGGAGCATTCTCTTAGAAGTCCTGGCCAAAGGATTTGATTACACTGTCAACTCTTGATGACCCTCTAGGGTGATCGGATAGGAATCCTCTGTGAACATTTGTGCACAAAGGTGCACCCATGCAGGCATCTCCCCCGCCCGCGCCAGGCATGTTCCTGAACCACCTCCTTTCATCACCCTGCTGAAAAGGGCAGACAGTTTAATGGCAGCCTGTGCCAAACAGCACCAAGATTGTCAGTGTGTTCCTTGATGGACCCAGGATACGGTGCAAATGCCAAAGGAAATGATTTGGGATCCCTGGTCCTTCAGCGCAGATGTGTTCAAGTTCCTTAGACCTCTCATGCTCCTTTTCATTTGGACCCTCTCTGGTCTGGGTCATATCTATGACATCTGCTTCCCCCTAGGGGCTGTTGTTAAGGGCCCTGTACCTCAGACTGGCATCCACACCGCAAAGTCAGCTTCTGGGCTGAGGACAGCCCCGTGGACAATGTAGCATCTCAGCTTTGCCCATGAAAGCCCTTGGACTTTCCTCCAGCTGGTTGCCACTGGGATGCCAAACTAAGCCAGCTCATCTTCCCAAACTGCTTATCAACTGTTAAAGTGGGTGAGGGGCTCTTGCTCTGCACAGAATTGGGCAGGATGGAAGTCTTTTGTCCAGATATGAATTCTGGGGTTTTTGGAATCGAGCACAGAGCTCCTGGCCAGCATTGGAAGCCTGACCTCCCAACTTGGCACTCAATGGCCCCTGTTCCCAGCCTAGAGCATCTTGCTATGAATGAATGGGGCCCAGGTGGAGGCCCAGGGCTGAGTAACCCACCTGGGGTCAGCCCTGGTTACTAATCTAAAGCCTTCCCAATTAGCATATTACCTCCCTGATCAATAACTAAGAGGCTGCAATCAAATATTGCTACTGTCACTTTAAAGATTTTCTGAGGTTGCAAGCTGTGCACATTTGCTCTCCTGCCTTGGTGAGAGGCATGTTCTTGGGGCAGGACTGACTATAGCAAGAGGAAACCAATTCCTTTCCCCTTTAAGATGACACCCCTCCCCCCGCCCCAACCTGGAAGCTCTTAAAACTAAGGAAAAATATGAAATATACATATATATACATATATCTATTTATGCACATACTGGGGCCAATCTGATTTGCTAGTATTAGACAATAAACCATACAAGGAAATGTATGATCTCAGTGTCTTTATTTAGTATAAAAGTGACCTTAGAAGAAGAGTTAAGGTTAGATAAACAGAGAGCATCTCTGTCAGGGGACCAAACAGCTGTAGCAGCCTCTTAGCATCTTTCTAGCCAGTGAGTCCCCTGCCTAGGGAAGGGGGCATCCTGACTGAGAGGCAAGAGTTGGGATCCCCCTCTCAGCAGCATTCTTTTTAGATATAGGTACTGAAGAACCCCCGTGAGCTCTGCATTTGTATCTTGCAAGTTTGTATAAACCCAATACAGGAAATAAAATGGTTTGTATAAGTGGTGTGTCTCTTGCACTGTGTCCATGTCTGACTGTGGCTGGCCTCAGGGTTCATGGCAATTTACAGGGATTTGGGGGCCAGGTCTTCTGTAAGAGCAGAGTTGGGTTTAAAGCATACGCACCATCACTCCCAGGCAGCTATCCCAGAGTTCCCAGTAGAGTGCCACTTCCCCCATGAATTGGGATGATGGTGTGCCGCTAACACCACAGTCATCTTTTTGGCCCAGGTGACCCACAAACAAGGCTTGTCCCAAAGTCTTGTAAAATGGAAGTATCAGATGCTTCAGGCCCTGGAACCTTCCCCTGGATTTGGTCTCTGAGAGTGAGGGTAGGATTGTAGGAGAAGATAATTCTCAGCCTTTCTTGATTATTACATGATGCCCTGTGTTTCTGCTTTAGGGTACAAGGTCTATGATTGGGGGTGAGGGTAGGGGTGGGCATCAGAAAGGCCATACAAACTCTTTTCATCCAGACTCAATGCCTTTGTTTTACTTTACTTGGCAGATATTCAGTGGTTATCTGTTATTGACACTCAGTGTGAGGAGCTGCTCAATTTGAAATCTTTCTGTAAAGAATAAGAGTTAAGAAGCCCTATAAATTCTGTAGAGTGGAGCTTAGAGAGAGAAAGTGAACACAAGATACTGGCAGTCCTCAACTGGACTCCTGCAGGATGTCTGAGGAGAGATGGAGGCATTAATGATTCAAGGAAGAGAAGAAAATGGAAAAAAAGGAGATGAGAAGGTGAACTTCCTCTAGGTCCTGATTTTTGCCTTGGTCTGATTCTAACGGCTTATTTTGAGTCTGGGACACCTGTTCTAATCCCTAAAGGGCTAGAGTGGGTACAAGTAAAGTGACTACTTTTGGATTTTGTAACATCAGAGCTATAAATCCTGATGTCCTTTGTGAATAGGAGAGAGTTGGGACAAGATGAAGGCTCAAGACAGAGGCCTTTTGGGCTGGGGAGGTGTATTGGAGAACTTGTCAATTGCTGGGGCTGGGGTTGGGTCTATCTGCAGCCATTTAGGCCAGAGCCTTGGCTTGGAGAGAAGGTGGGATGTGAGAGCACAGGGCACCACAGGGAGTCGCTGTACCCACGAACAAGGGGGCCGGCTCCTCTCCAACCATGATGTCACAGGTCCCCGCCTGCTCCACCTCCCGGCCCAGAGTGGCACTCCAATAGATCGATGGAGGCAGGCTGGGCTGTAAAATGGGGTGGCATTCAGGAAATGTAAGTAAAACAGCAACTAGCATAACACCCTTTTAGAAGCGGTGCTTGGTAACTGCGTGGTCATTTATTTATTCTTAAAGAGAGGCAGCAAGGCAGCCAGGCCTCAGACCCTGCTGCTGCCAGGGAACTGGGGCCTTGCTGCAACCCCTCATCTCTGAGCCTCCAGTGCAGAACTGACCCCTCACATTGCTGAGACTGATGGGAGAGGTGATGTCATGCTCAGCTCCTGGCTCAGCTGCATGAAAACGTGCACAAGTCACTAAAATCCTTGAGTCTCACTTTCCTCTTCTGTGAAATGAAGATATTCATACCATCCTATGGAGCTCTCAAGAAATTCAAATGAGAAAGTGGAATAAAAACACTTCGAAAACTTGAATTCACTTACAAACGTGAGGAAGTGATGGGGAACCTGTGTAGGCCCTTCAGCCGCCTTCAGGAGAATGAGGGAAGAGAGAGAATGTTCCCCAAACTCCCCTCTTCACTGAAAGATGTCACCAGGGCCTCTGCCGTTCAGTCCTCCGAGGTCGCCTTCCCCTGTCCACTTCTCTAGCCTCAGGGAGCAGTGCAGTGCCCCCAGACCCTCCCCACGGGGGCCAGGCTGTGGGCTGCCATCCGCTGACCATCAGTCCAAGCCTTCCAGGGCCTCCATCCTCCTCCCAGGGTTGCCCCTTGAAGAGGCTCCTGTCCAGAAAGGTGGGCTGTGGACTACCCCCCTGGGCCTGACTGTAGTACCCAGTGCTCCCATCTGAGAATATGGCCAGGAGGGCTCAGTTTCAGGAGAGTTCAGTTCTGCGTTCACAGGTGGGCTTCATGGCCCTGGAGAGAGGTATTCCCAGGTACTGTTTTATACACCTATGGGAGCAGTTTAGAGCCACAATTTAAGAGAGCAGAAGTCTTTCATATAACAGTGAATACTATACTAATTCACTGTCATTTAATACTATACTAATAATAGTAATTTAATAACAATAGTAATTATTGTAACTATGAGAAGAGTAATAACAATGGCTCATTATGTGTTTACTATGTGCCAGGGACCTGGTTCTCTGCCCTTCACATGTATTTATTCACTAATCTTCATTATATCTCTATGTGAAAGGTACTATTATTATCCAAGAAACTGAGGCACAGAAAAGATAAGTAAACTGTCTCAGGTCTCACCGAGCTAGGAAGAAGCCCAGGGTGCTCTGACTTTAGAGCCCAACCTCCTAATTTACCAGTGGTTTCAATAGGGGTGATACCGCCCCCTAGGGGAAATTCTGAAAATTTCAGGTAAACTGAAGTGTCAGTACTAAGGGGGCGAAAGTTACTGGCATTTAGTGAGTGCAGTGCTGGGGGCAGATTTCCATCATGAATAATTGTCGTCTGTCTTGCACAACTTTTAAATGTGCAAGTGGACTACATCCACTCCAGTATAAGTGGGCCCTACCGCAAATCATAATAGTACCAAAACGTTTTTAAAAGCTTCTACGTTTTTTAAATAAGTCTCATGAATAATAGCTCAGTAAGTCAGGAGATGGTTATTACGGAGAAGAAACTTAAATGGAATAAAAACATTGTCTCAAAATTATTGAATAATCTACTCTAATCTACACAACGTATTATAAATTTTCAGCCCTGTATATTTGGTTGAAAACAGTTCCGGGGTAGTAGGGTCTTACTGAATAAGCAAAAAGGTTGACTAAATAGTTAACACAAGAGATCTGAGAGAACCAAACAATATTAAAGCAAAGATGAAATGCAAGGGATCTCATTGGATCTCCTTAATAAATGTTTTTAGAAAATCATTTTATATTATTGCCATCCTTTATACTTTTAAAGTTTTTGCAACCCAAGAATGAACACCTATGTTGTAATGATTTACATGTGGAAATGTTTTGGGGAGTTGCCTGTTTTTTTTCTTTCTTCACTCTGACACTGTCCCAGGGGTTCAACATGTAACTGCTTTAAATCACTTATCTCACCATTTCTCTTTCCAATCCATCTCTATTCCCCATTGTCTATGGGAAATATATGATCTTCAAGGCCTTTTAAGATCCTCCGAACTGAATTTTACCTCAATACACGATAACGTTTCAAGACAGAGATCTATGTGTTTGTGATATGTCCCCATGACCCCACTCCAGGGCATAACTCAGGGAGCTACTTTAACAATGCACACATAAAACCCAGTTTCTTGGCTTCCACATCCTGCTTCCTCATTTTCTCTACTTGGTCATCTAATTTGCCTTCCTATATTATCTCTACTCCCATTAAGGTTGTTTCCATCTTTCTCTTTTTATATGCAAGTACATCTGGTCTGTTATTACTTACCTAATGTTAATTTTTATTCTAGAGCTTACTCCCTACTACTCTTTTTTTAAATTACATACTGGCTCTGGTCTTCTATTTTTCTTAAGTAATAAGTAGGTGCAAGCAATCTGCCTATTTCATTTATGTCTTCTGGTAAGTCTTGTCTGAGCATTTATATTGGGTCTTCAGAAAAGTCACGACATATTTTGTCTATGTTTTTCAAAGGCCATTTATTTATATAAAGAACAAAGATCAATCATTGATATATTGCCCGTTTTGTTCGATAACCTTTTGCCATCTTTCAGTGAGCTTCGTAATTCCTCGTTCATAGAAGGACCTGTCTTTATCGGCGAAAAACTGAACAAGCTGCTGATGTACAGCCTCATCTGAATTGAACGTTATACCACGCAAGGAGTTTTGAAGACAGCAAAACAAGTGGAAGTCTGATGGTGCAAGGTCAGGTGAGTATGGTGGGTGTGGCAACACATCCCATCCAAGCTCCAATAATTTTTCATGGGTGATCAAACTTGTGTGTGGTCTCGCGTTGTCGCGATGGAACACAACTCCTTTACAATTAACAAGCTCTGGACTTTTCTGGATGATGGATTCATTTAAACTGTCCAACTGCCAACAGTACACATTAGAATTGATCGTTTGGTTCCTTGGTAGGAGCTCAAAAAACACGACACCTTTAAAATCTCACCACACTGAGAGCATAACCTTCCTCTGATGAATGTCTGCTTTCAATGTCATTTGAGGCGAATCATCACGTCGGGACCAAGACCGTTTGCGCACCAAATTGTTGTAAACAATCCACTTCTCATCACCAGTTATCAGTCACTTCATAAAAAGGATCGTTTTCTTCACGTTTAATGAATATATTGCAGATGTTTATACGCGCCATCAAATGAACTTCTTTGAGTTCATGCGGAACCCAAATATGGAGCTTGCTTACGTATCCCAGCTTCTTCAGGTGGTCGTGAGTGCTTGAATAATGGATGTTCAATGTTTCTGCAATCTCGCGTATCGTGTAACATGGGTTTGACTCGATCAATGCCTTTATTTTGTCATCATCAACCTCGGTGGGCCTCCTTGACCAAGGAGCATCATTGAGATCAAAATCACCAGCATGGAATTTCGTGAACCACCGTTGGCACTGACAGTCTTGTAGAGCATTGTCACTGTAAACTTTATGCAACTTTTCACAAGCTTGAGGCGCGTTCTTCTCTTTATGGAAGTAAAACAATAAAATATGGCAAAAATGCACAGTTTGGTCTTCCATCTTCAAGTTGTTTTAAAATTTCCAAAACTCAACCAATCGCTGAATTTTTTTTAGAATGAAGCTAGAACTGTCCACTGTCAAATGACATAGCAATACCATAGATGCAAATGACTCTAGTACTTTCAAAAATGAACTAGTGCCATCTGTTGCAAACATGCGTCATGACTTTTCCGAAGGTCCAATATATTGCGAGACATCATGTTTTATTATACATTATTATTTTTCTTTATTGTAATTAGCTTTATTTACATTTTTAAAATGATGTATGTAGATTGGTCATATTATCTATGAACTTCATTTCAAAATAGAGGGACATTACAAAGGGAATGCTGACTCTAATGGGGTTGAGAACCACTGGTCTGCAATGGGATAAAGGATGTTAGGAACTATCTACCCCTCTTTTTTCAGGCCCACAGAGGGAGGACAGGATGCACCCATGTCTACACAGCTGGTGGGTGAACCAGGCTTCTTCAAAAGTCCAGCCCTGCCCGGAGTCCAGATTCATCTTTCATCTTCCATAGTTCAATCTCACAGTCCAAAGCTGGACACCAATGGGAGAAAGGAGGTTGAAGCCCTTCATGTCTAGCTCCCCAAGGGTGCTTTTCCCTGGATTGGATTTAACTCCATCTGGCTTTCCCATGAGACCAGCAGCAACAGGTTTTACTCAGTTGTTTGTCGCCCCCTAGGGTACAGTATGGATACTAGCACAAAACAAACTGCTTACAAGATAAATTTCATACTTTTCCAAAGAGAAACAGATTCCAACTCTTTCCATATCCTCCATCAAACCCATTAAGGAGCTTGGGTATCCCTCAGTCCCAGTTCTTTTCATGTACAGTCCAACTTTTGTGGAGGAGAAGGAGGCAATGAACTCAACCTTAGGGCATGGGGTGGGGGGAAAGGAAGGGTCAGGTGGGTGATGTCTCCAGGTGGCCATCGTGTGGAGGGGCAGTGCCTTCTGGGAAGAACCAGGAGAGGGAACCTTCGACTTTCAGCAGCCATTCATGTGTGTGTGTGTGTGTGTGTGTGTGTGTGTGTGTGTGTGTGTGTGTAAGTGGGGGCAGAGTTAATGATTTACCAGAGGCTCATTTCACAACTTACCAAGGGTCAGGTTCCCTTGAGCATGTACAAGGTTGGTCTTCCCTACTGCTCACCCCTTGCCAGATTTGACCCGGAAGGTCCCCCAGGCAGCCTGCAGCATGTTCTCCATCACCGAATGGCAGAGTGAGTCTGAGGGGCCCTGCTGCAGAGGGGTTGGGCTGGGCTGGGGTGTCCAGGCTCAGTGGGGGCCAAGACGACACCCCTCCTCGCTGAGATCGCTCTCTGAGGAACCTGTGAGGCGACCTCTGGAGCCAGTGGCCTGGGGCTGCTGTGTTGGCATCCTCCACGCAGCAGGGCCATGGCTGGGTGTGGCTCCTCTGTCTTCCAGGGGGTGGGGGATTGGGATTGCCCAGGGTCCCCAGGTAGCCAAAAGCTGGTACCTGGGGGGAACTGGCAAGTTCACCACTCAAGCTGGTGCCTTTTCCATTCAGAGTTCTTAGACCTGGGATGCTGCAAAGGTGGACCCAGACGGCCACTGCCCGTTCAGACATTTTCCCCCCACAAATCCTCAGGGTCTTCTGTGGCCCTGGGTCCCTTCTTGTCAGAAACTAAACTACTCCACTCCCCACGTCACCATATCCTCACTCCTATACATGCTTCTCCTTCCTTTGGGAGAGGGCAGGGAAGTAGTCTGCCGGTCTGGAAGGGCTGGGAGCTGGCTCTGTGAGTTTCATTTAGGCGAGTTACTTAAAGTCTCTGAGCCCCAGTGTCTCATCTGTGAACTGGAGATAATAGTCATTCAGTGAACAAATGTGTCTCCTCTGTGTGCCAAGCACCGTGTTGGGCATAGAGTATACAACAATGAATGAAACAGATATATCCCCTGTGTACAGCCTAGAGTGGTGGAACAGGATGTTAACAGATAAAGAAGTCAGCAGGTAGTATGTCCGGAGGTGATATGTCCTTTGTACAAAACTAAAACAGGTAAGGAGGCTAGGGAGTGTGAGGCAAGAAGTTACTGTTTTGTATAGAGAGGTCAGGAAAGGCTTCACTGAGAAGGGGCCTTTTTATGCAGAGATCCCCAGGAGATGAGGGGGGAAGCCATGCAGCTATCTGGAGGGGGAAATGTTCTAAGAGAGGACAGCCAGTGCAAAGGCCCTGAGGCATCGGCATAGTTGGTGTATTTGAAGGAGGAGGAGGCTGGTGTTGCTGGAGCAAAGTGAGTAAAGGGGAGAGTGGTTAGGTTTAGTCAGGGAGACCACTGAGAGGCCAGACTGTGTAAGATCTTTGGCTTTATCTCCATAAAATGGGAACTCATTGGAGGGCTTTGTGCAGAGAAGTGATATGATCTATTTATATTTTTAAAAGACCACTCTGGGTGTTGGGTTGAGAATGGACCGTAGAGGGGTGAGTTCAGCAACAGGGAGACCAGTACTGAGGTGAGAGATTGTAGAAGAGGCCAGGGTGGTAGCAGTGAACTGGTGGGAATTGGTCAATGCTGGATCTGTTTTGAGGAAACTGCTGGAAGAATTTGCTGGTGGACTGGATGTGGGCTGTGAGAAAATGAAGTCAAGAATGCCTCCAATATTATTAGCCTGAGCAATTAGAAAGGTTGAGTAGGGGGCAAGAGTTGGGTTATAGACATGTTGAGTTTGATGTGCTGTTAGACATCCAGATGAGATTTCAAGTAGTTACTCAGGTAAATGGGTCTGGAATGGAGAGAGACATTTGGGGGTTGACAGCATATAGATGATATTGAAAACCATGAGAGTCTGTGAGATCACCTGGGGCACAGTTTCTCAGCCTCCCCACATTCTGGGGCAGGGTAATTCTTTGTTGTGGGGTATATCTTGTGCATTACAGGATTCTAGCAGCATCCCTGGACTGTACACACTAGATTTCAGTAGCGCACTCCCACTCCCAGTTGTGACAATAAAAAATGTTTGCTCCAGACATTACCAAATGTCTCCTGAGGGACAAAATCGTCCCCCCACCCCACCTCCCAGTTCAGGACAACTGACCTTAATATTTCTAAAAATATATAGAGAAAAGGGCTGAGGCCTGAGCCCACTGGCAAGCCAACATTTTATTAGACCAAAATGTGCTAAGTCCTGTGAAGAATGTGCTAAATCCTATGAGAAAAAGAAATGAGGGAACCAGATTTAGGTCAGGGAGTGGAGAGTGAACCAGGTTTCCCTGAGGAACTGACATTTGCATTAACATCTAAAGGATGAGTATGCTTTAGGCAGATAACAAGTGGGAGGAGAGGGCAGAGTCAAAGGCCCTGAGGCAGGGAGGTTCATCAAGGAAACAATGATGTAGTTAGAGTGTGGCAGGCAAGGGAGAGAGTGGCCGGAGACCCAGCTGGACAAGCAGGCCTAGGCCCCATCATACAGGCAGGGCCTGTGAGCAGAGGAATGGATGGGAAGACCCTGTTTCATCTAAGCCCAGTAGGGAGCCATGAAGGATTCTACGCTGTGCAAATATGATTGGATCATATGTTTTCCAAGATCCCTGATAGCTGTGTAGAGAAGGGATAAGAGGGTGGCAGGAGTGAAGCAGAGGCTAACAGAAGGTTGGAGGGGCCCAGAACAGAGACAAAGGTGGCTTGGAATTAAGTGGTAAGAGTAGAGAGAAACAGACAGCTTTCAAGATACATTTGGGAAGAAGACGCAACAAAACTTAGCTGTGGTTTGATCGAGGGAGCAGAGAGGAAACTCGAGGATAGCTCTAGGGCTTTTGCTGCAAACTGCCGAGTGTGCGGTGACATTTTTTTTCATTTGGGGAAAATCAAGAGAGGTTCAAGTTTAAGGAACGAAGATCAATAGCTCAGTTTGGACCTGTTGAGTTCAAGATTCTTTAAAGAGAGAAAAACCAAGCAGATATGCTAAGTAGGCCGCTGGATACGAGTTTGAAAGCTCAAAGAGAGGCCTGGACTAAATAAGTAATAATACATTTAATGTATGAAAGATAAAGATCGACATTGTCACCACAAAAGTGATATTTAAAGGCATGGGAATGAATATGTGTGAAAATAGAATGAGGAGTGAACTTGGGCCAAAGCCCTGAGCAATTCAAATCCCAAGAGGAAGAGAGAGGAGTGGGAGCTGGCAAAGGGACGAGAAAAGAGTGGGCAGAACGGCGGAAAGAAAATCAACAACACGCTGTCATGGCATCCAAGAGAAAGGGCATTTTAAGAAGGGAGTGGCCAACTGCTAACAGGGAAGGACTGACACCTGTCCCTTGGTTTTGTTAACACAGACTTCACAGATGGCCAAAGCAAGAACAGTTTCTGTGGAGGAGTGTCGGGGTAGGACTGGACCGGACTGGGTTGGATAAAGACACTTTTTCTAGAGTCAGACTACTGGGATCAAACCCTGGTTCTGCCAGCTGCTAGCTGGGGGCCCCAGGCAAGTGACTTGATATCTCAGTGTTTCAGTTCTGTTTGTGAAATGGGGCTAACAGCATACCTACCTACCTACATGGGCAGTTATGAAAATTAAACGAGTTAGTAAGATTTAAAGTATTTAGATTGTGCCTGGCACCACGTGCTCATTAGTGTTAGTGATTGTTCTTATTAACCACTATTGTTAATTTTGAAAATTGAAGGAAGGCTTTTTCTCTCCCCATTTCCCTCCTTCCTCTTCCTGAACAATTCAGTCCTAAAGCCATTAGGTAGAGGGGGGCGGGGGTACCCAGAGCAGGTGTCAGAGCCTCAGCCAGGTGGAAGGGGGTGCACACTGGAGTTGGCCTGGTGCCAAGGAAGGGCGAGGAGAGCATCCTGGCAGCGTCAGGGCAGGGTGGTGAGGAACTTTATAATAGCGGAGCCTGGCAGACACATCATCAGTCATGGGCCAAATTGAAATCATGCATCACCTAATAGATGCAATGAGAAGAACACAGCGCCACATCCTGATACTTGTGCATAACCTGTATCTCGTCATGAGCAAACATCAGACAAGCTCAAATAGAGGAACAACTGCAAAATAACTGGCCCAAATCTTCAAAAGTGTCAAGGTCATGTCCAGGAAAGACTGAGAAACTGTTCCAGACATAAGAGACTAAAGAGACACAGAAACCAAATGCCACACGTGTTTCTGAACTGGACCCTTTCCTTTTTTTCTTTTTTCTTTTTGTAAAAGATTTTATTGGGGAACTGGGAGAGGGGAACAGCGTTGGGGTGTTGGGAAAGGGGACCAGCCAAGTTGTTGTTTTCAATCTTCATTGTGGAGGGCGCCAGTCACCACCTGGCTGCCCATTGGCAGCTTGTGGCCTCTAAGCTCAAGGTGCTGTGTTCAATCTTAGTTGCGGGTGGGCGTAGCCACCATCTCATGTGGGAGTCAAACCAACAGCCTTGCTGTTAAGAGCGCATACTCTATCCACTGAGCCATCTGAACGGCAGCTCAGCTCAAGGTGCCAGAGTTAGTCTTAGTTGCAGGTGGGCATAGCCCACCATCAAACAGGCAATCTTGTTAGGAGCACGTGCTCTCACCAGCTGAGCCATCCTGCCACCTGTTGGCAGCTCAGCAACAGCTCAACTCAGGTGCAGCGTCACTGGCCCATGTGGGAATCGAACCGGCGGCCCTGTTACTCAGAGCTTGTGCTCTTAAGCCAATTCTTAACCAACTGAGCCACTCGGCCGGCCCTGGATCCTTTTCTTATAAATGATATTACTGGGACAACTGATGAAACTTGAATGGCATCTGACTTTAGACGGTAGTAGTGTATCATCATTAATTTTCTGATTTGGATGGTTGTATCCTGACTACATAAAAAAACAAAGGAAAACCACACCAAAGTATTCAGGGGTGATAAGATAGCCCATGGCAACTACTCTCAAATGGTTCAAGAAAAGAATTCTTTGTACTGTACTTGCAGCTTTTCTATCCATTTGTGATTGTTGAAAGAGAGAGAGAAATGAATGGTGTTCCAAGCCTCCCTGTACAGCCTCGGGCCAGAGGACCCATCCCCCTGCTCCAAGAGATACTGCTTTCCTTTCTGGAGCAAGAAAGACACTGAACCTGGCTTTAGTTAATGCGAGCTACAGAGTGGGAGCTGGGGCAGCCTGGCTCATCTGCTGGCCACTCACAGTAGCTTATGGCAACCCACTGCAGCAGGGGCTGCAGCCTACACAGTTGTCGGCGACTCACGGCAGCCCAGCTCCAGATTGAGCTGTTGTTGACCATACTAGCTGTAGAGGGCGCAGCGTCACTGGTTCTCATGTGGGATCCAAACCAGGGCTCTGCTGCTCAGAGCGGGAGTCCCAAGCCAACCCTTAACTAACGTGCCACTGGGCCGGCCCATGACTTCAATTTTTCCAATCAAGCAGGGACATGGACAGTTTAGAGGAGGAAGGAGACAGGGTGAAGAGCTGTTCAGGAGGGCTAGCCTCTTGAGAAATAGTCAGGTCAGCTGGGTGGTTTCGAGATCCTTTGGGGCTGGTGGCCCTGAGTTGTCAGTGGTCCCTTTCTGCCTGAGTGTGGGTTGGGCATCAGCGGCTCCCAACTGCAAGAAGACAGAATCATCAGCAGCAGATGGTCGTGTTCAGCCAAAGGACCAATCCTGATGATGATCTGGGTAATGCAGCATTCGAAGCCAAGAGGAAGCTGAAAATGAAAAGTGGTGAGGCAGCCCTAGCTACCTCATAGAGTTGTTGTGAGAACCGAATGCCATGATGTGTAGAACTGACCAGCATTTTCCAGGTGCTAAACGCAGATTCGTGCCCATCCTTCCCTTCCTGTCCCATCATTCCCCAAGAGCACAGAAGCCAAGATTCCTGGATGGAAATGGAATCTTGCCACCTCATCCCCCACCCCCAGAGGGCACCTGTCCAGTGGAGATGGGGGAAACTTCCAGGGTCCCCACCCCCACCCCAGAGCCCATCCCACCACAACCTTCTCACCTGTTGCAGAGATTGGCGTGGGCACCGCCGGCTTTGGCATCTTCTTCATCCTCTTAGGAGTACTCCTGTACTTTGACTCCGTGCTCCTGGCCTTTGGAAACGTGAGTGCCCCTGCCCTGTGGACCGCCCCCAACCTACCTGAGGTCTCTATGGCTGGGGTCAGCCCCAAGTTCCTTCAAATCGTGCCCATCCAGGGGTCAGGTGCCATCAAGCCTGTGAATGCGAGGGTGGCTGGGGATGGACAGCAAGCCCTGCTGGGCAGAGAATGCCAAAGTTCTGGGTGAGGCCCTAGGGGTGCCAAGAGGAATCCCTCTGGTTAGGGAGAGGAATGTCACATCACATGAACATACGCGACTAGAGAGGGAGGCAGGGACATGGTAAAGCCATCATAAGACAAACACATTTAATATGAAACAAGGCGCTTGGAGTAAAGACAGCATACTCAGTTGGAGAAGGACGAGAAGGAATTTGGAGAGGAAAATGGGTGTGGAGGTAGATAAAACACTTCCAGGTGGATGGAACATGCTGGAAGAAAGCTAGAGTTAAATTGGATGGGAACCTGGGCACTCTTAAGGGATCGTTAGGAGCCAAGCTGAAGACAGTGACAGGGCCATATAGTGGAGGGCCTAGAGTATAATTCCACGGGCAGTGGAGCCCTGATGTTTCCATGCGACTTTGGGTATGGCTGCCTAACCTATGTAGGCCTCAATCTTCACCTTCCTAAAATGGAGAGACTCTCTCTATCCCATCTTCCTTGGGAGGTGTGATGAGAAATGGAGTCATATATGAAATGCTGGGATCCAAGAAATTGGGCTGAATTGGGTGAGAAACTAGAGACCTTCAAAGTTTTCTTTGTCCAGCCCCCTGCCTCTGGGCAGTTCCATTCCTAACCAGCTCAAATTATTCAAGGTTCTGGGATTTTGCCACATGGCTGGGTCACTCTCTCTGATACATCTCTCCTTAAAGAGTTAACAAGCCCTGCGCCATGCCTGACGTGGCTCTAAGCCTGGCTGTGTTTGTGCTCATGCTCCTCTCCCTCTCCTACAGCTGCTGTTCCTGACAGGCCTCTCCTTCATCATCGGACTGAGGAAGACTTTCTCCTTCTTCTTCCAGAGACATAAGCTCAAGGGGACCAGCTTCTTTCTGGGGGGTGTGGTCATTGTGCTCCTGCGCTGGCCCCTGCTGGGCATGTTTCTAGAAACCTACGGATTCTTTAACCTCTTCAAGTGAGTGCCGGGCCCTGTCCCCTGGACGGGCTACCAGGGTCTCTGAGTAGCTGAGATCAGCCCAACGGATTGGGCACGGTGTGCAGAAGCTGGACTTATCCTGCAAGAGTTGGGAGCCATGGAAGGATTGAAAACGGGGAGGGGCATCGAGCAGACACTGGGAAAGGCCCCTCCAGCAGTAGGTTGAAGGGATCTGCCCGCCCCTCAGCAAACACTGAGCACCTGCTGTGTGCCCAGCACTGTGCCTATCCCCAGGGAGGAAACACAGGGCCCACGCTCAAGTTGAGTGATCCAGATGGGGAGGAAAGGCTAATATTTGCCAGGCCCCAAATATGCACTAAGCACGCTTATCATCATCATATCACTTGGTCATCTCCACAACCCATTGTAGGATCACCCTCTACAGATAAGGAAACCAACACTCAAAGAGGCTGCCCCCTGCCTGAGTTCTCACAGGCAGTATGTCCCTGGCTCCTGGCTCCACAACCCTCTGCCAGTCTGGTGTCAGCCTGGGCCTGGTGAGAGGCAGGGTGGGACTCAGTGAAGATGTATAGCCACTGTCAGAGCCAGTGTCCTAGAGGAAGCAGTCCCTGAGACGGGCCTTGAGGGCTGGGCAGCGTCTAAGAGAAGACTGGAAGGCACTTAAGAGGAAAGGAAAGGCTATCAGGGAAGGTGGGGGTGGGAGGAACAACTCCCAATGTCTCTGGGGTGCTGCGGAGAGAACAGAGGTGGCATGGGGATGTGGGGGCTGGAAGAATCATGACCTGTGGAATCATGGGAAGGAGCTGGGGTCAGGAACCCCTGGGTCCCCATAGGAACCCTCAGTCTGCTCAGTGTAGCCTTGAAAACAGTCTGATTAGCCTGAATGCCTAGACCTCATAGACATCATGTAGTGTGTCCTCAGGAAATGAAATTTTCTCACACATGTTCTGCCATCCATTTATTCAATATTCAAACAGTCATTGGGCCGGCCAAGTGGCTCAGTTGGTTAAGAACTCGCTCAAGAGTGCGAGCCCTGAGTGGTTCGATGCCCAGCCCGAGCTGAGTTGCCGCTGGCAGGATGCCTCCGCAGAAAAAAAGAAAGAAAAGAAACAAACAGTCATTTACTCAGTCAAATATATAAAAAGCCCCTACTGTGTGCCTGATCCAGGGCTAGGTCTGGGGACATGGCACTAAACAGGGAGAAACTTTCTGAGGAACTTGCAATTCAGTAGGGAAAACAAATAAATTCTGACAACAGTGACCATTTATTGAGGGCTTAGGACTGTGAGCAGGGCACCTGCAGATTCAGTAGTTCAAACCCAAAGTCAACCTGGACAAAGACACTTTGCACCAACACTGTAGGAGCAAAAAATAACTAGAGTTTATGAGAGACCTCGGGGATGCAGGTGAACCTCAGGGAATTGCAGCCCAAGGAAAGGAAAGAGCTCAGGCAGAATTCAAGTTTCTGATCCCCTACACACAGGGCCCCCTCCCCAGTCCAGCCTCGGCGCCTAAGAGCCCTTTGAAGGATCACATCTGTGTCCCAGCCAGGCTCTGCAAGGTGTGTTTGATGGGGGGGGGGGCCGAGGCAGGGGAAGAAGACATGAGCACAGCCCCTAACAGCTAGCCCTGCCTGGAGCCCAGGGAACCTGTGTAGTGACACTCAATCTGGAGAGGAGAAGACAGTGACAATAATGAAAACAAACATTTCCTGAGCATTTCTGTGTGTAAGGCTCTAGGATGCAGATACTATTATTAACTAGTACATTTTAAAGCTGGAAACAGATCCAGAGAAATTAAGGAATTTTCCCAAGCTTATATAGTGCCGGTAAGTGATAGAGCCAAGTTTTGAACCCAAGGAGTCTGACCCCAGGGTCTTCATGCTTCACCACTCCACTTGGCTGCTTCTCAAACACCAGGAGTACAGAACCAGTGCCCCCCGTGCCCAGGGCCCTGCTCTTTTGGGAGCCAAAGCTGGAGCCTTTCTGTGGACCACAGCCTTGCTGCCCTCTATCCTCCCTTCCTGGGCCATCACTGACCCTTCCCTCCATCCCTCTGCTCCTAGGGGCTTTTTTCCTGTGGCCTTTGGCTTCCTGGGCAATGCCTTCAACATCCCCTTCCTGAGTTCGGTAAGTGCCTGTGGCTTCGTGGTGGGGCCTTAGGGTGGGGCCTTAGGGTGGGGGGAGCACACGGAGTTTGTAGAACTGCTGCCCCAGGTGCAGTCGACCTTCCCCGTCTCCCCTTGCACCCCCCTTTCCCCAGGTTGGCCTGCCTCAGCTGCTCTTCCCCTCCCGGCTCCTTCTCCATTGGACAAGAGCAGACGGGTGACGGTACCAGGAGCAGCTGTGCCCAAGGGGTGGGTATAGAGGAAGGTGGCTATTAATAGCTCCTTATTAGAGCCAAAGATATGGACACTCAGAGAATTTAGGAAGTGCCAGAAAGTGCGAGGGATTTCTGGGTAGCTGTCTAAGTCTGGGACCCAGACATGGAGAGGACGTGTGACAGCCCAAGACAGCAGGAAAAGCAGGTGGCAGATATTGTTCTCTCCTTGGAGCAGTCATGGGGCAGTGGTCCCCAGTGCCTGCCCCCGCTCCTTCTCCGAAGCACCTGACAGAATATGAGCTCTCTGAGAAGCCAGCACCTTGATGCGCCCGCCAGCTGGGCACATCCCTGCGGCCCCCTCCATATCTGCACTTGGCACTGCTCCCAGTTCTCAAGGCCGGCTTTGTAATAACCTCAATATTGAGTCTGCTCACCACTCTTTGTCTGGAGTAATGATTCTTGGCTCCCACAGCTGTTCCGCCGACTACAAGGAGGCACCAGCTCAATGGTCTGAACAGCAGAGATGAGCTCCTCGAACTTGGCTCATTGGTTGAGGGGGCTGGACAGGAAATGAGGTCATACCCTCAGGCCCCCACCCTGCACTGACTCATCTCCCGGTCACACCTGGGCCTCTCCAAGTCCAGAAGGAAGGATGGAGCTGAATGACTGACCTCCAATGCCCAAATCAACGTCAGGACTGTTGGGAGCAGAGATGCAGAGCCCCACAGAGATCGGACTGGGGCTGGTATCACACCCCCCACACTGTATTTACGGGAGGAAAAGCAAAGATTAAATCCCCAAGCTATGCGTGTGTCTGTGATTCAAAGTCAGTTTCTCTCGCCCATTAAGTCCATCTCCCGACTCCGGGCAGGCTGAAGCACACATCATTCCACATAGCAAGGGGCAGGCTTGCTCTCATAGGCTCACTTTTATCCTGGTGTTTAAAGTCCTAATGAGTGACATAATGTGTTTGCAAGCCCCTATTAGTGGGAGGCATTAGACACGTGATGGGTAATAATCCTGTGTACTGGCAGGAAATGCTTCTCAACCATTAGGTAGATGTCTGCACAGTGAACCTACCAGGTAGAGCCTGTGTTGGGGAGCTTCTTGTCTGAGAGTAAAGACATAGCTTTTGCCTTCAGAGAGCTCTAGTCTGACAGAGGGAACAGTCTCTGTCCTGGGGTGCCCCTCGTCCAAAAGTAAAGCGCATTCTTACAGGCCCAAGAAGGAAACAAGGATCCACTGCAACATCAATCTCTTTAGTAAATACCTTTAAGGGTCCTCTATGTCCGTACCGAGCAATGGAGTGGGTGCTCAGGATGCAAAGGGAAGGAGACCTGTCTCCGCCTTCAAAGTGGGGTAAATAGCAATTATAAAATGCTATGATCATGTCTGCCACAGACACAAAGGTGGGGTCCTGGGAGCAGCACCTTCTGAAACGCCTGAGAGTCACTTGTCCATAGTCCCTTAGAATTTCCCAAGTACATCCGCCTTCTAGAGCAATCATTGTATCCTGCTTTCTCAGCTGCGTAAAGACCTGTCTCGCCCATCTGATTGTGTCACATTCATCTGAAAACCCTGTGCTGAGCAAGTGCTCAGTAACTGGGGAAAGAAGGAAGGAAGGAAAAAATGAGAGAAACCCACCCCCCAGTCTCAGATCACAGCCCAGGAGTCCCCTTTCTGGTCTGAGACTCAAGGCCAGCTGGCCAGAGTTGGGAGCACGTGGGGAACAGTAGCCCCTGGATCCCACTGTGTCCTGCTCTTCTCCCTCCTTCCTTTGGTCATGCTCACTTCTCGTTGGGTGTGTCGGTGGCTCTTGTCTGGAGGGGGGACATTTCACACTGACCACCCCCCCACACACACTCCTGCTCAAATAGTCCCTTCCCACATTGTTTGGGGCAGAATGGGTTTCTGGCTGAGTGGGTCTGGGGTGGGGGAGGGGGGAGGAGGATGGAAAGAACTAGTGGTAATCAGAAAGCCAGCTCTGGAGGACTTCTGGAGGGGAAGGAAGAGGCTGATTCCAGTCATGAGAGCCAGGAGGCGGGAGACCGTGCTTTGTCTCTGAGGGGGTCTGAGGAGGAGGGAGAGGGAGGCAGAGGGGGGCCTATACCGGAGACGTCACTCCGGGCTTTATAAAAGGGACCTGATCACAGAGCTGGCAAGAGTGTGCCCAAGAGCCCAGCTCACCGCCCTCTGGTGTTCACTCACCCAAGCAGTGTCATCACTGGAGAGACCCTTTGGTGCTCCCACCCACCAGGACAGAGCCAGGTAGGTGCACTGCGGCGCCCATACTTAGGGAGGGGTCTGCCCAAACCTAGGGAGGCTCCCAGATGAGAGCAGGAACTTAGATCCAAGACTGACCGATGC